GAATACTGGAGTGGGTTGCCATTCCCTTTCTCCAGGGGATCTTCCCAACCCAGGGATTGAATCGGGGTCCCCAGCACTGCAGGCGGCCCATCTGAGCCACCAGGGATGCCCATATAGACAATGCTGCCAATTATTCACACTGAACACTGGCTTTTTACCGGCTCCCAAGGGGTGAAGAACTGGGGGCCCAGGGAATACCCATGGTGAGCCTGCTTCTCCTTCCTGGCAGGCTGACCTCTGAGGCATTTCCCTGACACACAGCCGATACGCTTTTCTTGCTGAGTCTTGCCTGGAACAGAGTTGGGAGGTGTCACCTTTCTCCGCATCTCAGATGGGGGTCAAGCAAGCCAGAGGCTCTCAGGAATTCCCCCAGGTCCCCTGCCAGGCTGGGGGTGGGGTGGGGTGGGGAGCAGGTGAGGGGCAGGATTCCTGCACCGTCCTGCGGCTTAGGTCAAGAGCAATCCCAGCACCAAGCCATCTGGAGGGAGAATCTGCCCAGGACACTTCAATATAATGTGGCTTCAGTGACATGACAAGCACCGATGCCTTAGGGGACCTGTGGGTGGCTCCCGAGGCTGGGGCGTCCAGATGATGGCAGCGGCTGGGAACCTGGTTCCCTGTGTGGCCCAGTGTCTCTCTTCTCACCAACCAGGGGGACTCAGGCTTGAAGCTTTGCTCCCAGGAGGCCCTTGTGCGGGTGACACTGGGCTGAACCATATCCCCCTCCCTCTCTGCTACCCAAGACAGTCTCAAGTCCCACCCTCTGGGACCTGTGAACTTGACCTTACTTGGAAATAGGGTATCCATGGATGTCGTTAGCTAAGATGAGGTCTGCTGGAGGAGGGCAGGCCCCCAAACAGCAGGAGAGTCACAGCCCTGAGCCCAGGGACACCAAGGGTGCCCGGGAGACCCAGAAGCCAGAGAGGAGCCTCCCCTGGAGCTCCTGGGGAGGGGGCGGCCCTGCCACCACCTTGATCTCAGACGTCTGGCCTCCAACCAGGACAGCGAACTTCTGTCGTTCAGGCCCCGGTTCGTGGGGCTTCGTCCCACGGCCTCAGGACAACAGGCCACCTCGCATTCGTTACCCCTTGAACCAGCCCGGTTCTTCTCTCATCTCCAGCACAGGGGCTGGAGCACAAGAAGTGCTCAATCAACGCCCTGCCCAATGCCCTGCATCTGTGAATGAGCTGGCCCTGCCGTTTCACTCTCCATTTCCCTCACGTACTCCTAACTCCCCTTGTCTGTTTTCCGCTGCACGAGCACCAAATTTAATTAGAGAAATGGCTTTTTGATCACTAGCCAAAAATCCAAGTCTTGCCCGTGGTGCGTCCTTTCCCGAATCAGGCCCCGACGTCCTACTTCATTACTTGTAATGAACCCTCTCGTGTAGTTTCTCTGTGATGGCGAAGCGGTGCCAAGTCTGCAAAGCGCTCGGAGTTAACCAGGCCGTCCAAATGACGGAGCAGACTCGGCCGTCACGGGCGATGAACGCACATGGCCTTTTCTGTAGCGCCTGGAGAGCTCAGGGTGAGTGACAGGCACGGGATGCTGAGGCTGGATCTGAATCCGCTGAATAATCCAGGTGTGTGGACCCGTGTTTGAAGGAGTGAGGCTCCAAGGAGTGAGTCACATGTTATTTTTACTCCTGGTTTCATATGGCCTGGTTTTAAATTATTGAGCGGCTGGAAAGCTCCCACAATGAAATCATATTTCATTTGTTTCTCCATTTGGCTGTTAAGTGAATCAATTTCTGGACTGGGTTTGGAGGTGAAGAAAGGACAGAGAAACCCGCTCGGCTTGGACGAGAGAAGGCCCAGAGGTGCCCTGGGTGGTTTGGAGTCTCTGGAGGCGGCTCTTCCGTGGGCCTGGGGCCTCCCACGTGCAGGATGTCTGCACGGCTGGGCTTCCAGGGCGGTGCCTTTCTAGACCAGGCCCCAGGGGAGCCCGGCCACACCGGGCACTTTCTAGGGAGAAGCAATTGGCGGGAAGTCTCGGCAGACCCTGGGTGAGGTCAGGAATGTGGGGAAGGGGAGGCTCACATCTTTGCTTTTGCTGTGAGTGAGAGGCAGCAAAGGGAGCACTGGGGCGGGAGGCGGGGTAGACACTGATGCTGGAGTTCAGTGGTTACGCTCCTCCATGCTGGAGACCTCGGGATGCCCTGGAGACCTCAGGATGCCCTGGAGATCCCAGGATGCACTGGAGACCCCAGGATGCCCTGGAGACCCTGGGATGCCTTGGAGACAGGCATCCTGACATTTGGTGAGGGCATCAGACAAGAGGGATAAACAGCAAGAGTACACAGCAACCTGGCAAGGACAGTCAAGGCCTCGGGGAGTGGAGGTGGCCCCTGGTTTAGCCGGGCTTCAGGGGTCTTCTCCAAGGAAGGACTCTCTGGTGGAGTCCAGTGGGTGTCGCTGAGCTGTCAGGTGAGGCTGGGCCACCCACCAGCCCAAGGGGGAGAGAGCCTGGCATGGTTTGGCTCCAGGGCCGCAGGTCCCTATGGTCCGAGCCCCTTATCCTCAATTCAGGCCCCTCAGCCTCGTCTCTTGACCTCCTCGGCGCTCCTTGAAGGCCCAAGAGACCCAGGAGAGATGTGTGTCAAATGCCCCAGGCTCGCTCTTCAGAAGAGCCTGGGTGTGCATCCCAGCTCTTCTGCACGGGACCAGTTGGCATTTGGGCAAGTGAAGCCTCGATTTCCCTATCTGTTAAATGGGTGCAAGGATGATGCTGAGGATAGTAATGGAGGGCTCTCTGGCGCAGAGCGGTCCTGGAGCATTGCTACCCTGGTCCTCGCTGCTTGCCTCACCTGCCTTGGCCCTTGGCATCCTCCTCACCTGTATATCGTGCCACCTCCACTCCACCCCCTTTTTTGGGCCATGCTGTGCAGCTTTTGGGATCATAATTCCCTGCAGGGATCAAACCCAGGCCCGCGGCAGTGAAAACTCGGGGAGTCCTGACCACTCTTCTGCCAGGGAAGTCCCTCAAACCCCTGGCTCCTCCTACCTGAGTGTGAGGCTGGCCCCACCAGGGGTTAGACAAACCCCTCCACCAGGCTCTGCTGCCCCATTTAACCAGCCCTCCCCTCTTGACCTTTCGCCCTCCCAGCCCCTCCTGGGCAGGCCTCAAGAAAGCAGCACTGATGCCCACTGGCCCCGGACCACACAGGTGGCATTGTGCCCAGCTGTCACCTCATCCCTCAACATCCTTCCCTTCCCAAGGGCTTGAGGCCCCACAAAAGGGCAGTAAACATTTTCAGGACAGACGACCTTAGTTCTGAAGGGATTTCCAGGCTCTCGGAGCTGCAACAGACGCCTGTATCCTCAGGGCGTTTGTCACAGAAAGAGAAGGCCTTTGTCTGTAGGTCACTGGACTCATTGCTTGGGAACCTGTACCTGGCACAGGCTGTGCAGGAAAAGTACCCCTAAAGGCGCCCAGGGTGGCTGTGCTGTGGGCTGAGCACGGTGTCTTACGTAGTTAGTAGATGCTTGAGAAGGAACACTTAGGCTTCGATCATTTCTGTTTTGTGATCACCTCTGGGTCACCAGGGACGGAACCTCCAAATGATAGCCTGGTGCCCACAGGAGAGCAGTTGCTGTGAGAGGCTCGACTCTAGGACCAGCTGGGCCCGGGGCGGGGGCAGAGGCTGCCCATCCCTGCTCTGCAGTCTCCATCACCAGCACATGCCTCCTAGTAAGTGGCCAGCAAACAGCAGAGGTGGAGCTCTTCAAGTCTCCTCCAGGGTCCTACCTGGGCTCTGCCCACAAGGCCCCTTCAGCTGCCTGGCACCTGCCTGCTGGCACTTAGGCACGCCCTCCTTTATGACCCAGGGCTCTGCCATCCAGTCCTGATTATACCCCTGGCTTCCCTGGAGCCCGGGTCTGGACAAGAAGGGCACTGGCCCACAGAGCAGGGAGCAAACACGCAAGGGCCCATCTTCATCTTGGAGACGGAAGTCTGGGCACCCCGAGGCCCATCCCGGGGCGGGGACATGGACCAGCATTGCCGCTGGAGGCGCCAGCCAGGGGACCCGGTCAACACCCTGGAAAGTCAACCCCTTCTGTGCTTCCCCTGAGCGCAGCCTGGCCAGGTCATGTCCTCTCCCCAAGCCTGGAGGTGGAAGACTAGGGCCCTGCTTGTAGGGTCATGGGGAAGATGGAACCAAAGGAAACCTGCTAAGTCTTCAAGCAGGAAAGATGGGGCAAAGGTGGAAGGAATGGGTGGAGGGCCAGCGGGGCCACCCGGGGCGCCCACTCGTGAGGGCCTGGAAGGGGGTCCCTGTGAAATGAGATGGGGACTTCCCCGGGGGAACATGGGCCGAGGAGCGGGCGTGGCTTCTACCCCGCCTGCAGGAAGGGGCCTGGGTCACCGCAGGGCATTCCTTTCACCCACAGGTGTGAGCCTGGCAGGAAGAGAAGGTGGGGGCAGCCACTGGCAGCCAGCAAGGCCCAGCGGGCCCTCTGCATATCTGACAGCATGCAGCAAATGCTGTCAGCGTCTTGGTGTGACCGTGAGCCTGTCTGGGAGGCCCCTGTGTCAAGGAGCCCCTCGGACATTCCCTTCTTCAGGGCTCTTTCTTCGATGAATTAGAGGACTAATTTGAAAACAAATTTGTTTTCTTTATTAAAACAGTGCCCAGTTCACTACAGGTACTGAATACACGGTGGATGGATGGATGGATGGAAGACAGGTGAGAAAAGGCAACACCCTTTGAGGGCTGGTGATGGCCCATACTGCTCTCCGGTCTGTTTCAATAACAATAAATACAATAACGATCATTCCCTGAGCCCTGACTTTTTTGCACTTCGAAGTGCTTTATTCACATGACTCACGGGATCCTCCTAAGAACGCTGTGGGTCAGGTGCTGTATGAAGGATGAGGAAGCTGAGACACAGAGAGGGTGAACGAGCTACCCGAGGTCACACCTGGTTCACAGCATCGCGGATGACAACCAAAGCCTGGCTCTGTCCACCCAGCCCCCGCGGGCGCCGTGCAGGAGGAAGATGAGTGAGCAGGCCTGGCCCACAGGGAGTTCCCCTGTGGGAGAACCAGCCGGGCCAGGGCAGAGGGGGCAGAGGCGTGGCTACAGGACACCCGGGTCCTCCCTCACTGCCAACCCGCTCTGTGACTTCAGCAGGACTTCCTTGGGCCTTCGGTTCTACCCCAGTGAAAGAATGTGCTGGAACCACATGACCCTGAGGTTCCTTCCTCAAGGAGTTGAGAACGGCTATGACTCCCCAGTCCCTGCCCCATTTGAAGGTGCCTGCTCAGAGAGGCGGGGCCGGCCCCACTGGGAGGCCCTGGGTGGCCGCATGTCGGGCGGACCTCTGGAACCAGGCCACTCACACTCGCCCTCTGACTCACAGGGACTTGGGAGCAAGGGCCTGTCCACACCTTTCCGTGGGGAACTTGATGGTGAGCTTACTAAAGAGGACACGTGGGGGCAGCGGGTGCTCTGATATTGGGTGGGCGTCTGGCCTGCTGCCCCGGGTGATGGCCTGGAAGGTACCGGGTGCTCGGGGTCAGCACCCTCTCTCCTTCCCTCCCTTTACTCAGCAGGGTATCTGTGGGGTGCCCACTCTGTGCCAGGCTTATACAAGTCACTGAGAAGGATAATAACTGCATGATAATATCAAACACAGCTATTGATCTCAGCTGCTGCCGGGGCCCAGCGTGCATTAGCCCATAGGAGCCTCAGAAGTATCTCGAGAGGCGGGGACTGCTCACAGTCTAACGATGCACATGGAGAAGAAACCAGCCTCCCCACCAGGGGTCAGACCCCCCAGGCCCCCACCCTGAATGGCCAGGCTCTGTCCTCACCACAACTAACCACCAGAATTTAATGCTCTCATCCGTGGTGGATCCTCCAATTGGCTACTTCACGGATGGGGCCCTGATGCCCACAGAGGGGCAAGGACTGCTCAGGTCTGCACTGCTGAGAGGGCCGTTGGGTGAAGAAGAGGGCACCAGACCCCTGCTCGTTTCCTTCCATCATCACATCCACTCGTGTTCTGGGCAAAAGGCCCCAGCGGACAGGCTTGGAGCCGGGCAGCTACACAAACAGCCAGCCCAGCCAGTCTTTCCAGGTTGCTAGGGTGCATGGGGCTTGGGCCAACCAGCTGCATTGCCCAGGCTGGTTCTCCCCAGGAACCCCAGTCCTCTGGCCTCTCTACTCCCGCAGGTCCCACTTGGGAGTAGGTGGACGCTGCTGGAGGCCCAGAACGAGTTATCTGCTCCTGCCTCAGAGTTCTGTTCAGAGTTCACCTTTTCTGGAACCAGCCCTCTCTTCTCCCCCACCAGGTGGGGCCAGGTCCAGGGAGTCCACCTTCTGATCAGGTCAACCCAGACCCTCCACACCCACCCCCAAAGACCCCTTCCATCAGCACCAGAAACTCACTGGGGTCCCCGTGCTCCCACCCGGGGCCTTCCCTCTGCCGAACCGGGGACCCAGGCCCTCCCTGTGATGGACCAGGGAGGTCACTAACGTCACAGAGGACAATCGGCCCCTGGGGATGGGGGCCCGCAGACTGCGCCACCGGGATCAGACCACGGCGCCAGCCGATGCGGCGCTCCGGGAGCCTGGGGCAGGACATCGGGTCGCCGCCGCCAAGCCCTAGATACGGGGTCAAGAGCGCAGGCCTCGCCCCTCGCCGGGGCAACTGGGCAAACCTGCCTCCCCCCGCTTGCCCCCGCCTCGATTCTCTTCTGCAAACTGGGGAGGGAGGGAGTTGCCGCTGTGCGGCTCGTTGCACCAAGCTTTCGCCTCACCCGGCCGCACTTCTGGCCCGTTCGTGGGCTCTTGGCAGCAGCCGATGGCCAGGCCGCCAGCCAGCCAGCCTGCCAGGCCGCGCGGACAGCTCCGCAGAAACCCTCACGAGTGAGCTGCTGGAGGCCGCAGCGGCGTCGCCACCCTGCGCATGCGTGGGCCGCGCAGCCTGCCGGAACTGTAGTCCATCCCTGGGGGTGGCAGGTGGCGCCGAGCGAGGAGGCGCGGAGCGCGGCGCCTACATTTCCCAGGGTGCATCTGTTATGGGGGCGGGGCTGGGGCGGGGCCTCCGCGCGGGCGGGGCGGGGATTCGGGGCGGGGCGGGGCGGGGTCTGCGGGGCGGGGCTGGCGCGCCGAGGGGCTGCGGCGGAGCTGCGGGCGGGCAGGCGGCCCATCCCGCCTGCAGGCGCTGCACCTGCGGACACGAGCGTCCGGCTGCCGCCCCGCCCCGGCGACCCGACTCCAAGCTGCCGCTGAGATGAGCGCGGGTGAGTGTGCGGGGAACCGGGGCCTCCCCGAGCTGGATCGCGGCGCCGGCAGGGCTGGGGTGCCTGCACCTGCAGACGGGAAACCGCCCCGCGGCTGCAGCCGACTTGCACTCCAGGGTCTTTGCAGTGTGGCGGGTCAGGCGCTCCCCCCATCGCCCGCCTTGTCCCTGCCCCCGGGGGGCCGGGAACCCCTTTCGCCGAGCGCCGCACCGCCTGGCTGCGCTGGGCTGCCTGGACGGCGCCGCTCCTTTGCTTTTCTCCCCGGCGTGCGGGGTCGCGGCAGGGTCCAGGCGAAGGGCGCGCGGCCGCTGTAGACCCTGCGGCGGAGAGGTGTGTGACACGGGTCGGGGGGTGGGGAGGGCTTGGCGGCAGGGGGGCGCCGCCCTTGTGTGACTCCCGCAGCGCCTTGGTGGGTAGGTGTGTTGGGGAGGGGGGTCAGGTCAACCCCCCCGGCGCCCTGGGCTCGCCCAGCGCAGACTTGGGGGCGCGGAGCCCGCAGTTGGTGTGCGGCCCTCCGCGATGCGCGCGCGTGCTCTCTCCGGCCCCTCGTCCCCTCCACTGCGTACCCAGGCTGCTGCCTCTGGGGCCGCACCCGCAAGGTCTGACAGCCTCTGTGCGGCGCTGGAAAAATCCCACGTCACCACCACTTAGTGCGGTTGGGGAAACTGAGGCCTACCGTTGGGGGCCTAGCTCCTGGAGAGATTCTGAAGTGACCAGAGCCCCGTTTTGAGAGCCTTCTGGGGACCCAGCCCTGTCTGGAGGGCTTGTCCCTACATTCCCCGGCAGGGAGAGGCCATCACCCCATTTTCCAGGGTGCGACCGAGCCTCACCAGGCTTGAGTCACTTGCTCAGGTCTTGCAGTGGGGCTGGGTTTTGAAGCTGGTGCTTCCTGACTCCTGTGTCCTGCCTTGAGCCCATCTCCCCACAGGCTCCAGGATGGGCCCCTGGCCACCCCGCAGAAACCAGAGGAGACAGCTGTTTCTCCCTGAGGGGCGGGAGGGTAGGGAACAAACAGGACTGTGGAGGGAGTGCGCCTTTAGGGACCATTTCCTGTCTGCTGTCTGCTTGGGACCTGTGTTTCCCGGGAGCACCCCCCCCCCGCCCCACCCCGGGGGAGTCTGTCCCCTCCCCCTCCTAGTTGAGGAAGGAGGAACCACACGGGCAGTGGGAGTTGGGAGAGACGCTGAGAGCAAAAGGCAGGCTGGAGGAGGCAGACTTCTCTAGAGAGGGTTTCTGAAATGGCCAACCTGTTCTTTGGAGGTGGTTGGGGAACAGGGCACCCTGCCTTGGCAGAGCCTCCAGACACATTTATCTAATGCTAGGTGGGGGGGAGGTAATGGCAGGGTGCACCAGGTAATTTTAGGCTCTCCCCAACTGTAATTGATCCCTCCGATCTCTCCTGTAATCAGGGGGAGCCCTGGAAGGAACCATGGCATTTCCCCCCTCATTTGTGGTTGTCCTGGGAGCAGGGGTAGGTGGTCACCAGGGGTCCTGGGGGGGGATCAGAGGGCAAGGAGACTGGGGTTTGAATCATAGTGTCCACCTGCTGGTCTTGGGCACAGCGTGATGGTTTCCTGAGCTTGGCTTCCTGAGAGCAGTATCGTTGCCCCCGTGGAAAGGATGAGGTAATAGCGGAAACTCCGCACCTAGTAGGTCCTCCCTTGGGGGCTCGTGCGGGTCAGTAAACTTCAGCCTCTCTGAGTCAGCGCGGCCCCTTGGGACTGGCAGTGGGCACACAGACCCGCCACCTGTCGCTCATGGCCCGGCGCATGACCTGCACAGCAGTAAAATTTTCACCCACAGCCACGATGGGAGAGAGCAGACGGTGGTCCCTGGCGCCGCGCACCTAGGCTCTCGTGGCCACTGCGCACATCTGGAAGGCCAGGGGCTTCCTTCATCCACAAGGGCAGGTCCCCTGACGGCCCTTCCCAGGGAAGTCTGGCATCATCCCAGAGCTGGGCAGCAGCAGGCGTGGCTGGGAGCACGTGGTCCAGTCTCCAGCGGCCCCGACCAGCCGACGGTCGGAGCCTGAGGGGACCTGAACGCCGGCCCCGGGAGGGAGGCTCCCCTTTATGCTGTGCCAACTGCGGGCGTGTCTTCCTTCAGTCTGATCACTCAGGGCGCCCTTGAGGGGGCTCTGGGGTGGCCTCCAGGCCCTGTGCCTACTTGCTTTGTCGCGCATTCATTTCAGTGTTCAGGGGGATGAGGAAGCAGTACGGTGAGGCGGGAGGAGCTGGCGTTCTGCATCAGATAAGCCTGACCAAGCGCGCGAGCTGTGTTCTGTTTACAGTCACCCGTGCCCTACTTTCCCCGCCGTGTGGAGGGAGCCCCTCCGGCTCTACGCGCACTGCTGGCCACACCCGGGCTCTCGTAGCTACCGTGCGCATCTGGCAGGTCGGGGACTTCCCTCGTCCACGAGGGCAGGTCCCCTGACGGCCCTCCCCAGGGAAAGCTGGCATCATCCCGGAGCCCATGTGGGGCCCAGGAGACGACGGTGAGCCTGGTGGTAGTCTTCTAGCGTCCCAGTCCGTGTGGTCACGGGGGGTGGGGCACGGTGGGGCAGAGGGACAAGCCTGAGCCCAGAGGGGCTCCAGAGCCAACCCTGCCACCTCTGGGCACCAGGTCTATGCTCCTTTGGCGCCTGTGTGTCCTGCCCGGGCGGCTGCAGGTCTGGTGGGCAGGATTCTCCCAGGTGAGTTTCATGGGGGCGGGCGTTGCATTAGTCTGCCAGGGCTGCTGTAACAAGGTGCCCACTGACCGTGCAGCTTAAACAACAGAATTGTATCTTCTCACACTTCTGGAGACTGGATGGAAGTCTGAGATTGAGGCGTGGGCAGGGTTGGTTTCTTGAGGCTTCTCGCCTCATCATGTAAGTGGCCGTTTCCTCCCTGTGTCCTCAGATGCTCTTTCCTCTGTGTGTCTGTGTCCTTTCTTCCTGAAAGGACACCAGTCATACTGGATTATGGATTTGCGGGAGGGATGCAGTTCAGCCCAGAAGGGGCGGGCAGGGCCAGGTGGAAAGCTGGGTGGCAGCTCAGCTGTCTTCTTTTCCTGTGGCTGATGGGTTAGGAACACAGAGCTGGAAGGGGCCTGAGGGATGCTCCAGTCCTAGCCCACCCACCCACACAGAGGGGAAACCGAGCCCCGGGGAAGGAAAGGCGGCCGTGCCAGGGCCACGAGAGTGTGTGGTAGACACAGAGCCCGAGCCCCCTGCTCTGGTTGGTGCAGCCCTGGCATTTGAAACAGAGAAACATGTTTCTAATCCGAGTCAGGGCTGGTTCACCACGGCATCCCAAACAGCGGCAGAAAGTCAGAAACCTGCTGCGTGTATGTGGTGGGGAGTGACGGGACATGGGCCATGGGTTCTTTATCCGGTCCCTCATCCGTGGGTCCTTCGTCCGGTCCCTCATCCGTGGGTCCTTCGTCCGGTCCTTCATCCGTGGGGCTTAGATGTTTCCTAAGCCCCTGCTGTGTGCCCAGCACCGCCCCAGGCCCGGGGCTCAGGTGTAGACCAGAGCAAGCGACATCGTGTCTTCCTGGGGGAGGGGGCTGGCGAGAACGTTCTAGTTACTTGTGTGACTGGAGTTTCTCACGTTAGGAGAAAGTGCTTAAGAAAAGCTTCATTTAGAAAACAGCTGAAGACACAATGGTGCGTCCTATGTGACCTCCACGCTATGAAACAGTGCAGGGAGCAGACCAGAAGGAAATCGTGACGTCCAGGGCGTCCCCCTCTGTTGGAGGCGGTGAAAGAGCTAGTGCTCCCCGTGCCCAGCCCCCGGCATCTTTACACTTCCTGTTACCTTCCCCGGTTTTGTTTTTTTTCATTGCGTGTGCTTGCGTTTTGCAATGAGGAATCAACAAGAAGGGCGTTGGTTCCGGGTCTAAGGTGGGCATGTGCTGCTTCCAAAGCCCATGACTTGGTGACAGGTTGGGCAATTCCATCCGCAGGGGCCACTCCTTTGCTTGAATGGAGTCTCCCAGTTGGCAGCACATGGATCTTAACACACGTGCCCAGTTTCCATGGGTGACAGCATCTGACGTAGGTGTAGCTGAAGACAAATCATCCTGACCCAGAAATTCATCTGAAATTGCACCTGAAGAGGATGGTCATTGCCCCAGAACCGGCAGCTCTTGGACAGCCCGGGAGTCCTCATCTCCGAACTGTTGGTCCTTCGCATCCATGGTCACTTCCTAACCCGCCACCTGAGATGCTTCAATTCTTTCTGGTTTCTGTCCAATGAAGTGGTTTGGGGGCAGTCGGCATATTCTCTGGACCCAAGTCCTGACTTGGGTGAACTCTTGGAAAGCCCAGTCTTACTGTCTCAGCAAAGGGAGTGTGACCCAGACTCTGGACAAGTCGCCGGTCAGACACCCTGACCCTCCAGAGCGTCTTCCGTCTTGTGTGAGAGCTGTGAGCCGGCTAGAGGGAGTCGGCAAGTCTGGTGGTGCAGGGAGCCGGCAGGGTGGGGCGGAGCCTCCGGGAGGGGTCTGTCCCGCTGGCGGGCCTCAGGGCCAGGCCAGCTGTCGTGACCCTGAGCTGCCCCGTGGATGCCTGACTCTGGCCCCTGGGTCGGGTGGCCCCTGGGCTGCAGACACGGGCTCTTCCGAGCTCGGGCTCCAGCTCTGCCACCTGCTAACATGGGATCCTCGGACCTCTCCGAGCCTCTGATGCTACCTCTTCTGGGGTCTCCATAGGGACCGAGGGCCCCAAGTGCCTGGTATGCAGGAGAGGCTCAGTCCAGTTCAGTTCAGTTCAGTCGCTCAGTCATGTCTGACTCTTTGCGACCCCATGGACTGCAGCACGCCAGGCCTCCCTGTCCATCACCAACTCCCATAGCTTACCCATACTCATGTCCATTGAGTCAGTGATGCCATCCAACCAGCTCATCCTCTGTCATCCCCTTCTCCCGCATTCAATCTTTCCCAGCATCAGGGTCTTTTCAAATGAGTCAGTTCTTCTTATCGGGTGGCCAAAATATTGGAGCTTCAACTTCAGCATCAGTCTTCCCAATGAATATTTAGGACTGATTTCCTTTAGGATGGACTGGTTTGATCTCCTTGCAGTCCAAGAGACTCTCACGAGTCTTCTCCAACACCACAGTTCAAAAGCATCAATTCTTTGGCGCTCAGCCTTTTGTGTGGTCCAACTCTCACATCCATATATGACTACTGGAAAAACCATAGCCTTGACTAGATGGACCTTTGTTGGCAAAGTAATGTCTCTGCTTTTTAATATGCTGTGTAGGTTGGTCATAACTTTCCTTCCAAGGAGTAAGCGGCTTTTAATTTCCTGGCTGCTGGAGAGGCTGGAGAAGCAGATAAAAGAGTTGGGACAGGAAAGCTCGGGTTGGTGTTCAAATGGCAGCTCGTGTTTCCTGGTGATCGTGTGGTCTCGCGAGCTGCTGCGGGCCCGTCAGGGGTGCCAACCTGCTGGGCTGCCTCTGGCCACCCAGACACAGGGCAGAGCAACCCGAGTGCTGCGTGCTTGTTTACCCGGGGATGTTTCCATCGCCAAGGTCTCTAGGGTGTCGGGCAGCAGCCTGCTTCAGTGTCAGGGCGTCGCCGCTCGTGGGGCCCCCCTCTCGGGCCCTGCTCCGCCGAGGGCTCCTCAGGGTCGCTGGGGTGTCCCTGCCTATAGATGGGGAGGTGGACGCCCAGGAGGGCGCCGGGCATCACATCCCACCACTGGTGAACGACAGAGCTGGATTTGAATCCTGATGTGTCCAGCTGGCGGGAGGGCAGTGTCTGTCTGTCCCCCTGTATGCATTGGGGCTGCAACGGTGACTTTGTGACGTGTGGCTGAGTGTTTGGGATGGGTGAGGCTTGATCCCCTGGGGGCCTCATGATGACGCTTGCTGGTGACAGCGTGGGGGCGGGGACTCACAGCCGATGTCCTCACCTGAGCGGAGGAGCCTGGCCCCGTTCCAAGGTGTGGCGCCTGCCAGTGTAGCTGGGAAGGCAGAGCCAGCCCCAGCCCAGCCCTGTCTGGTCCTGAGGACTTGCCCTGTGCCTCCAACGCACTCCTGTCCAGGGTCATGGCTCAGCCCCAGGGATCCACCCGGGGATGGACCACTCAGACTGGGAGAGGGTCACCGTGTGGAGTCCACACGCCTCCCTGTAACCTTGACCCCTGGCCCTCGCTGTCCCCTCTCCCGGGTCCTTGGGGTCTCCTGGAGCTGACCGCTCCTGGTGGAGGCAGCACTCACGGCCATCCCAGGATTCTCCAGCTCCAGCCCCGCCGGCATCAACCGTCCGGTTAGTGTCTGAGCTCCCCGGGCTCTCGGGCCCACCTGCCGGACCTCTCTGTGACCTTGGGCCAGCCGACTGCCCTCTCTTGGCCTCAGTGTACCTGTCTGAAAACACGAGGGCCACCGCCATCCTCAGAGGTGTGACCTGCTTTCTTTTGACAACCTGCCCCCCGCCCCCCACTGCAGCGGGGAGATAGTCTGGGTTTGAGGCTCAGCCGCCGTCCGTGCAGGGAAATACACAGTGTGAGCCATGAAGTCGGATCACCCTTCTGGGCCCCGTGGACCTCATCTGACGGTTTCACAGCCGGAAGCACGTTGCCCTTCACGCCGAGGGGGCCTGGTTAAGGGCCTTTCTCTGCAGCCTGCCTGGGCAGCCACCTCTGTGGACATCTGCCTGGTACCCAAACCAGCAGAGCAGCTGAGTCCGAGTCCCAGGGAAGACCTGGGGAGGGGGAGGTGTGCTCTGACCCCTGCCGGCGTCTCCTACCCTGGGCGGGGGCGGGAGGCTTCCAGGCTAGTGGGGAGCCAGACCCAGGCTGAACCAATTCCATCGCAAAGTGATATATTGGGGGTTTCGTGCGCCATGTTGCCTTGGCTGGAGATTTCTAAGCAACAAGGGAGGTGGTCTTGATTGATGCCTCAAGGGCTCTGGGGTCAGAACACCTGAGTCCCAGTCCCAACTGTCACCTGCTAGAGTGTCCCGGCCACCAGGTTGCACAGGTCCCCCTCTTTGCCTCGGTTTCCCCACCTCCCAGGTGGAGGTAATAGCACCTGCTTTTCAGGACTGACCGTGGGCTGTGGGGCCAGGGGCCTGGGGTGGGGTTTTTTTTTTTTTTTTGTCACAGCCAGACATGCTGTCCCAGGGCTTGAGGCAAAGCCTGCAAGGTCTGCCGGGCATCGGCTGGCACGGCCTCTGGTCCGTGGCACTTCCTCTGTTGCTGGTTCTCTTGCCTGCGCTGCCCAGCCCGCCTGACGCTGTTTTACAGTCCCTGCCTGGTGCCGGGGTCAGGAGAAGCCCGGTCCCCTGAGAGCGGCCCGCTCCCGGGTTCTGAGCAGCGCTGTGGATGTCAGCCCCGACTCAGTCCTGCAGGGCTGTCCTCACCGCACACACAGGGCCTCCACCCGGCCGCCTGCACAAAGCATGTACGCTGGGTGGCCTGTTTCTTCGTAACAGAAGGAGGGGTTTGACAGATCGGGCCACCCGACTCCAGCCAGTGCCCAGTGGCCCCGCTATGCACACCCGCCGGCTGAGCCGATTGGATCCCCGCTCCTGAATCCGCACAGACTGCCTCAAGTCAGGGCTCTGTGAACAGCTTCCAGTGGAGGTCAGGTGACGGATGGAGCTCGGGTCCCCACTTCATGCCCACCCCCCCCATCCCGGTCGAGGACTCAGGGTCAGGCCTCTTTGACCTGCTGCTCTGACCTCCTGCTTCTGCTTAGATGTCAGGGGCCCCAGGATCTTCCTGGAAAATGGCATCTCCAAGGCCCCGGTTAGCGCTGCAGTTGGGCGTGAAGTTCCAAGAAGGAGGAATTAAAAGGACCACCCTGTGGCCCCCCCTATCAGTTTGGCGACCCGAGTGTCAAATGCTCCCGGGGGCCCACCCCCACCTTTTTGTTCTGAGTGACTAGGCTGAGACTGCAGGCGGTTTACCTGGGAGGGGCTCCCAGGAAGCAGAAGTGGGAGGGCTGGGGCGTGGAGGCGGGGAAGAGCCGTGGGGCATTTGGATGGGTGGCCGCTGTGGGCCGCAGGGGCTTAGTCCTGCTCGGGGACCGTGCAGAACGCTCCTAAGCACCAGCAGGACCCTGGGGCCTTTGTCGTCCTGGACTGGGGAGGTGGCTGGTCCTGAGATTTTGACCCCCCCACCAACACACATTGCACAGTGTGACTGTCCACACTGGGGAGCCCAGAGGTGGGGTGAGGGTGGGTATCACCACACAGCCACAGCACCCACAGAGGGCCCACAGGTTCGGATACGGTCCAGCATCAGCCTGACTGGGGCCACCGCTGTTCCCAACATCAGTCCCATCGGGGCCACCTCTAATCCCCGCCATCGGCAGCCCCTCAAGGGCTCAGGGCTGTTCTAGAATGCCTGTTTACTTGGTTTATTGAGCACCTACTGTGCACATTTGAAAAGACCCTGATGCTGGGAAGGAGTGAAGGCAGGAGGAGAAGGGGACGACAGAGGATGAGATGGTTGAATGGCCTCACTGACTCAGTGGACATGAGTTTGAGTAGACTCTGGGAGTTGGTGATGGACAGGGAGGCCTGGGGTGCTGTGGTCCATGGGGTCGCAAAGAGTCGGACATGACTGAGCAACTGAGCTAACTGTGCACAGAGCACTGTCCTCACTAGTGATTCCCCCAAACGCATGTGTTTTCTCCTGCCACCTTCTCTCCCCCTCCCCACCCCCTGGTGCTGGAATTCCTCCTCCCAGAACCCAGAAGGTCCAAGACCCTTGCCTGCATCCTCAGGACCAGTGAACGGGAGCTGGAGCCGGGGGCTCCAGGAGAGGCCGTGTGACCTGCACGTGGGCACTCCCCCTCTCTGAGTTGCTTCATCTCTGAGCAACGGCCCTCAAGGATGCCCCTGGCCTCATCCCCAGACAGGGGGGATATGTTACACATGTGGCAAAAGTGACCTTGAGGATGGGATTAAAGGGATCTTGCAGTTGGGGGGTTGTACTCAGGGGGGGCCCGTGCTGTCTCGAGGAGCCTCTGAGGGAGGAGGCAGGAGGGCCAGAGAAGAGGGGAGGCGGTGGCAGACGCAGAGGTCGGAGAGGAGACGGTGTGGCACGGCTGGCTTTGAAGATGCAGGAAGGGCCGCCTCAGTCTGCAAGCTGAAGGGCTTCTGCAGCCACCACGTGACTTGGTGTCACACGCAGTGGGGGCCGCCTGCCCCTCAGGCTGCCTCTGCCTCCCGGGGGGTCTACTGAGCACCCACAAGGGGCAACGTCACGGGGAGAGTACAGTCCAACATCCCTGGAGTGCAGGGACGCTGGGTGGCGAGGCTGAGCCGGACCCGGGATCTCACATGCGAGAGGTGGCCTGCAGGCGCGGGGGCGGAGGTCACGGAGGATGAGCGGACCGTCCAGGGTGGCCGAAGCGAGCCAGCCATCCAGGAAGGGCCGGGCTGGGCAGCGAGGGGGCCGTCGGGCCGGGCCAGGACCCGGCCAGCACCTTCCTGCTGTTGCTCTGGCTGCGGCCACGCCAACCCCGTGAAACGCGTCTCGCCGGCCACCCACATCCCGCCGTTTTCCTCCAGCTCTGAGCCTGGCCGCTTCTGCCAAGCACTTGAGGCGTAGCCGTAGGGTGCGGGGCTACAGGCACTGTTTCCCTTGAACACAGCCCTGACCTGTCTTGGAAATCAGGAAATGCCATCTGTGTGCAGAAGCCCAGCGTCCAGCCAGGGGCCTCCCTGGCTGCCTCTGCCGGGCACGGGGTGCGGCCCGGGCCTGGGGCATGCACGGCACATGAGCCACAGGGCAGGTCTGCATGTTGAGGACCACAGGCAGTCCTGCCAGGACCCCCCCAGAGCTGCCTCCCGCTTCCTCGGGCAGGGGTCCCCGCCAGACCTCAGCGTCGCCTGCACTGCTCTTTCCTGCCAGGCCCCGTCATCCCCCCGCCTCACTCTTTCCGCTCCAGCGGAGCTGGACCCCCCCCAGCCCCCGCACCCACCACGGGAGAGCTTTGCTCTGCCCTTGCCGCGGCCACCTTGTCTTCCTCCGTCAGCCCCCGTCCCCGGACCTGACCCCCCAGATTCCTTCTCTGAGGGTAGCTGGCTGGGCGGAGCACCCAGCCAGCCGGCAGCCTCTGAAAAGGAGTTGAGAGGACTTAAAATCACTGGCAACAGCTCACACACTGAGCCCTAAGCAGGCCCCTTCGGGGGACACCCTGCAGCCCAGCACAAGGTTTTCTAGGAGCTGGTGCCCAGGGAATGGGGTTGACAGAGCGGGGAGTCGGTCCCCGATACTGGGGCATCCAACAGGAGGGGGACGGCTGGCGTGAAGCTCCGTAAACCTCGGGGTTAAATAGCAGAAAGTTATTCTCTCCCAGGTATGGAAGCCTGGAGTCCAAAATCCGTGTCACTGGGCTGAGGTCAAGTCTCGGCAGGGCAGGGCCTCCTCCGGAAGTGCTGGGGGAGTCCCCTCCCCGTCTCTCCTTGGCTGCCAGAGGCTCCCTGGCTTGTGGCCGCGTCACCCGCACCTCAAGGCCAGCATCTCCAGCACCTTCAGATCGCCCGCCGCCCCGTCCGAGTGTGTGGCCAGGTCTCCCTCTGCCTCCATCTCTGAGGATGCTGGCGCGTGCGCTTGGGGCCTGTAACCCAGGGTGACCCTCCCATCCCAGGGTCCTTAACTGTATCCCATCTGCAAAGACCAACCGTCTCATTCTTTTAACCATATATGTCACACCCATGGGTCCTAGGGATAAGGACACAAGTACATTGGTGGGGTGGGCATTATTCGGCTTTCCCAGGCAGCTTCTTGAACGTTCTGTTTCTGAGACTGAAACCCTTTTTTTCCCTCCTTGCAGGGTCTGTAGAAGAGCTGAGGGTTAGAGAAAAGACCTCTCATAGGATAAAAATTGTGCCTTTCAAGTCAGCCAAGTATAAACATCCCAGAGTCCCCAGAGCTGATGGCCTCTGGGGCCTCTGACAGTGGGTGTGTGTGGTCTCTTGGAAGCAGCTAGGCGAGATGCATTGAGCCTTAAATACGTTCATGCCTTCGGTAGAAGAAGGCAGCTCTCCGGAACCTTCTGAAGCACAGATATGGTCGGTGCATAAAAACTCATTCACTGCAGGGGTCACAGGCTCTGCAGGGCGAATGTCCAGCCAGAGATGCTGACTCAAGAAATTACTGTCCGTCTGTCTTTCCGCAGCAGCTGTTCTCCAGCTTTGAGGGCTTTGGACCCCTTCACTCAAAATTACTGAGGACCCCAAAGAGCTTTTGTTTAAGTGCATTGTATTTATTGATATTTACTGCACTAGACAGGGCTTCCGTTGTGGCTCAGTCGTAAAGAATCTGCCTGTCAACACAGGAGATGCAGGTTCGATCCTTGGGAAGATCCCCCTGGAGAAGGAAATGGCAGCCCACTCCAGTATTCTTGCTGGGAAATCCCATGGACAGAGGAGCCTGGTGGGGTCATGAAAGGTCAGACATGACTGAGCGGCTAAACGACAAGTGTACAAGACATAAGATGGAGAATTTTTAAGCATATTTAATTCATTGAATAAGGAAAATAGCCCGTTGTATGTTAACTGTGAGTGTTTTCAGGAAACAGACTGGCCTTGCTTTACAGCTGTGCAAATCTCATTAACGTCTGGCTTAATAGACGGCGGCTGGAGCCTGTGTCCGGCCTGTGTTCTGTCAGTTGTGATGCCACCTGTCACGGGGCCTCGGGCAAACTCCAGCGTACATTTGGGAGGGAGAGGGAATGATGGGGGAAAATAACATTTCAGTCTTGTTATGAACATGGCTTCGACCTGGCCGGCACCCTGCTTGCATCTTGGGGACCCCAGGGTTCCTAGACCACACTTGGAACTGGTGGTAAAAGATGGAGTATTATGCAGTCATTAATACGACTCTCAAGGCGTGTGTCCGCGATGGTGATGAAGAATACGGGGTCCACAAATTTATACACAGTGTCATCTACAAAACAGGCAGAAAACACATTGAAATGCAGGAGTTATGGGCAACTCTGCCTTTTTTTTTTTCTTCTGATGCTTTGGCTGTTTTATTTTCCCAGCTTCTTCATTTTAAGGATGTGCTTGGGGGATGGGTGGGGAGCAGGTTTGTGCTCAGTACTGGTCTCAAGAGGCTTGAGTGGAGAGCAGCTGTCTGAGCCCCTGGCACCAGCCGGCTCCTGCTCCAGGGATCGGACGGCTTTCTCTATTTTGGGAGGTGGACTCTCACTGTGGCACTAGGCCCTTGAGTGGCACCGACATGATGCAGGGATTGTGTGTGTGTGTGTGTGTGTGTGTGTGTACACGGGATAATTTCATCCACTGTTAGAAGCAAGAGAGCAGTTTCAGTGGGCTCTGGAGCAGGTTTCACAGTGGCTGACGAGCAGTTGGGGGCTGGTCTGAAACTCGGCGTCCCCTGCAGAAATGCCCCGCCCTGGCAGGGCTCCAGCGGAGAGCTAAATATAACCTGGGTATGTGCTGGCAACCTCGGGCACCCCACCCCCCAGCTGGTGGCAGAGCTGAGCCCAAGGGAGCAATTGATTTGTCTAATGGAGCTCAGTGTCTGCCATTTGTGGGGCATCTGGTAACTGCGGGCGGGCGGGGAGGTCGTCCAGGCCCCGTTTGAAATGTCACAGAGCCCGGCGGGGCTCGGATTCTTGCTCCTGATTTTCAGATGGGGGACGAAACTGGACTAAGACGGGAGGCAGGACCCATGGTCACGTGGCTGGTGAGGGGGGCATGGCTCTGAGCTGGGAGCACCCTCAATGCCCCTCCCCCCTGAGGGGCACGCGTCTCCCCCACCGGGTCTTCTGATCCGAGGACTGTGGTCACGTGTTTCCGAGGGCTCTGGCCTCACCGGTGGCAGAGAAATGGTCGCAGTGATCATGGTAACGCCCCAGACAGCATCCCTGCTCGGGTCCTGCAGACGCTGCAGGAGTGGTCTCCGTGAGTGCCCATTCTACAGGTGGGCACACAGAGGCCAGGTGACCTTGAGAAACCCGCCCCGGGGACCCGGCTGGTGGTGGGAGTGCCTCCAGATCCTGGGTGCTGCTGAGCTGCGTCCTCCCTCCTGCATGGGATGTGGGTCAGCCGGCTCCCCGGGCCCAGCAGGAGCCCTGCTCCCAGCACCTCCGTGCGCTTGTGATTCTCCTCCACGCCTCACCTGGCAGACAGCGGTGGGGGAGTGGGGGGCAGCTCTCTCCCGCTCCTCCCACTGGCCCCGGGGCATCATGGGGCAGGATGATGTCATCACCCCTGGAGGGGGCGGCAGGATGGGGTGACCGGTGGGGGGGGGCAGCCTTCTGAAAGGGACTTGCAGCGTAATGATCCCTCTCTCAAAGTACAGCCCACCGCCTCCAGGATTGGCACCTCGGCGAGGACCTCTCACAGGAGACTGGGGCCCTGCGGGTAATTCCTGCCCATCCCTGGCCACAGGGGGCCACTTGCCCATGGACACCCTCCTCCCTCACTCCCAGGCACCCTTGCGGCCTCCAGGAGACCTCAGCAGGGCCCTGCTCTGGATTTTGGGGTGATGGAGGGACAGCGGGTCCTCAGCCTGCCTCCTGGGAATCCCTTAAAGCAGTCTTCAGAGAGGAGGTGGCTCCCTGGATTCCCCCCACCAACATTCCTATTTCCTCCATGAGGACCTGCCCCTTCCCAGGGCTGACCGACACAGGAAAGGACATTCTCTTTCACAGGAGGCCCTCCCCACCTCCCTGGGTCTCATGAACAGGCATCCCCGGGGGGAGGGTGAGGGAGGTGGTTTCACCTGAGCGTGTGGAGCTCTTGGCCAGGTGCAGAACGTGACCTTGAGGGAGTTCTTCCCTCCAAGATCTTCCAGCCTGGTGAGAAAGGCGGACAGCGTGTGGGGAAGACACACCATGAGAAAAAGCACTCTCCCAGGAAGCTGTGGGGGAATGGACAGAGGGCAGGGAACTGACCTGCCATGAAAGAGACATCCTGGCAGACTTCCTGAAGGAGGTGATGGCCTGCCACGTGGGAGTCAGACAGAGCTGTAGAAGAAGGGCAGAGGTGAGCATGTAGGGCGCGTGTGAGGAGTTTCACTCACTCCTCTGCCCCATGCTAGGCCCTGGGTAAGGTGCCATCTACCTCTCAGGCACTGTGATCCCCTGTCCGTCCCTCATGGTACCTTGCATAGCACCTCGCCGGCAGGAAGTGCTCAGTGATGATGTGGCTACAGGGGGCCGAGGAGTCATGCATCCAGAGAGGGGACAGGGAGGGAGCGTGGAGACCATAGGCACCCGGGGGTCTGCTAGACCCACCCCGCCCCGCCCCCATGACTGCAGGCTGAGCCAGGGCGGGGGTGGGGGCATCTAGCAATCTCAGCATGTTTATCTGTGATTCGGGGCGGGGGGAGGTTAAAGCCCCCGTGCTGGTGCGGCCAGGACTCGGGGAGGATGGGTCACTCTAAGTGGCGGGGAGGGGCGCAGAGGGGACATGGGTGCCCCGGTCATCCATCTTCCTTGGCCCCTCGTCCTCCCCGAGAGCTCGGACTCATTGAGGGCCACACCAGGCCCACGTCCTTGCAGAGGGCTTGGGGGCCTGGCACGCTGAAACAGGAACACTGACCCTGTCCGGGGGGCTGGGTGGGGGGCGGGTGTGTGGGGAGACCACTGGGGGTCCAGGCGTGGCCCCTAGTTTGGAGGCCAGGGCCCCCTCCCTGCCCCGCAGCAGGGACGCCTGTGACCTAGTGCTTGGCAGCTGACCCATGAGCCCTTGCAGCCCAGACACAGCCCTGCGCGTCCTTTTGTTCGGGAGCGGAGACAGCTGGGGGCAGAAGGGGACTCGTCCATCCCTGATGGGTGGTGCCGGGCAGTGCCCTCTGGAGGCACGGTCCAGCCAGGGAGGCAGGCCTGTGAGGGGTGGGTCGCGGCAGTGGTCTTTGGTCCAGGGTAGACTGGTGAGACCCGGAGACCCAGAGAGGGTCTCAGGCCACAACGGAGACCCTGGCTGCGGCATGGCCCTCCCTGTCCCAGTTCTGGGAAAGAGGGTCACGCCAGGAATAGAACCTTGTATTTCCCATGGCTCCAGCCGCCGTTCCAGGCCGCAGCAGTCTGGAGAGGATCGGCTCCAGGCCGGCGATCTGCGGCTCCGGGTCGAAGTGGCAAATGCGGGGCAAGTCACTGGCCACCTGGCCAGCATCAGGACCGTGGTGCCCAGCGCTCGGGTTTTTATATCGCCTCCTGCTGGGAGCCATTCTCTGCCCGGGCCAACCGACCCACTCAACACGCAGGCTACAAGTTGGGAAGTTTGGAAGTCTTGGCCCCAGGCACGTGGGCAAAAGGAAGTTCACGATGGGTCCCTGGACCACCTGGCAAAGCAGTGCCTTGCCATGGTCCTCCTTTTACCTGGGACCCGCGGTCACCTGCATCTGTGGACCTGCTGTGTGCAAACCTGCGTCCAGGTCTGCTCGGAACATCAAGCCCAGCCCTGTCCAGCCTCCCCTCGTCTCTGGAAGCAGAAATATTCAGATCCCATTGACTTGGCTCTGCTTGAGCAAAGAGACCCAAATCCTATTAATATTAGTCAAAGGCCACTTCCCTGGGTGCTCGTGAGCTGCTGTGGGAGGAATGTGAGTTGCAGGGCAGGCTCTGAGCGAGGCCCCATGGGCTGTGGTCTTGCCGAGGAGGGTCCAGGAAGCTGGTAATTAACTGCCGGCCACGTCTGGGGCTCAGACTTGTGGGTCTTTCCAGGTCTTATAAAAGCCGTAGGATTCCAGCTCGCATTCACTTGGGCCGTTGCTTCTCTGCACACTCAGGTATCTGTGACCTGGTTAGACTCCTCAGAACTGCTTAGGGCTGTAGGAGTTGGGAGCAAGGGGTGGCTGAGGTCACAGCTGAACGAGGCAAAGCTGCGATTCGAGCCCAGGGCTCTCTGTCTCCCGGCCTCCCGGGTCACAGGAGAAGGGGGTGTGCAGACAGCAAGAGCTGCAGGTCAGGTACCCGACCTTGTAGGAGTGTCCACAGGGAAGCAGGCAGTGCCGCTGATTTTTTTGTGTGTAAATTAATTTATTTTAATTGGAGGCTAATTACTTAACAATATTTTAGTGGTTTTGCCACACTTTCACATGAATCAGCCATGGGTGTACATATGTTCCCCATCCTGAGCCCCCCTTCCACCTCCCTCCCCATCCCATCCGTCAGGGTGGTCCCAGTGTACCAGCCCTGGACACCCTGTCTCATGCATTGAACCTAGACTGGTGATCTATTTCACATATGATAATATGCATGTTTCAATGCTATTCTCTCAAATCATCCCACCCTCGCCTCCTCCCACAGAGTCCAAAAGTCTGTTCTTTACATCTGTGTCTCTTTTGCTGTCTCTCATATAGGGTCATCGTTACCATCTTTCTAAATTCCACATATATGCGTTAATATACTGTATTGGTGTTTTTCTTTCTGACTTACTTCACTCTGTATAATAGCTCCAGTTTCATCCACCTCATTAGAACTGATTCAAATGCATTCTTTTTAATGGCTGAGTAATATTCCACTGTGTATATGTACCACAGCTTTCTTATCCATTCATCTGCTGATGGGCATCTAGATTACTTCCATGTCCTGGCTATTGTAAACAGTGCTGTGATAAGCATTGAGGTAGACGTGTCTCTTTCAGTTCTGGCTTCCTCAGTGTGTATGCCCAGATGTGGTATTGCTGGGTCATATGGCAGTTCTATTTCCAGTTTTTTAAGGAATCTCCACACTGTTCTCCATATTGGCTGTACTAGTTTGCATTTCCACCAACAGTGTAAGAGGGTTCCCTTTTCTCCACACCCTCTCCAGCACTTATTGTTTGTAGACTTTTTGATATCAGCCATTCTGACAAATGCCGTCGATTTAATGAGAAAAGAGGCTTGAGAAGACCCTGCTCACACACCCAAGTCTCCTGGGCTCTGATTCAGAGTCTGCTCGTCCTCCAGAGTTCCTCGCAGCTGACCCTCCAAACCGGCAGGCTGGACCCCAGGCATCTCTCTTTTGAATGACCACTGGCTTTTGCCTTCATCCCACATATTTCTGGGTGCCATCCTCTGCTACCAGGGATCTTAAACAGGGTGCATGTGGGCTCAGTCGTGTCTGACTCTTTGTGACCCCATGGACTATAGCCCACCAGGCTCCTCTGTCCATGGGATGTCCCAAGCAGGAATACTGGGAGTGGGTTGGGATCCCCTTCTCCAGGGGATCTTCATGACCCAGGGATCAAACCCGCATCTCTTGTGCCTCCAGCATTGACAGGAGGATTCTTGACTGCTGGCATCACCTGGGAAGTCCCAAATAGGGCGACCTGACCTGTTTTAGGGGTTTCACTCTCACTTGAGTTTCTTGGAGTCTGTTTTATTATCATTAATCGTGCAATAAACCAGACAGACGTTCATTTTTGCAAGAACAGGGGATTGAAGAGGGAGCAGTCTGTGACCCCCTCCCTGGCCACTTTGGCTCTCCACTCTGCATGGACCCCGCCCACGAAGCCTCGGGCTGCGTCCTGCGCGCCCCTCCCGACGCCACCCAGGCAGCACCCCCGAGTAGGACGTGCTCTCGAACAGTCCTTCTCAGCGGCTGCCGGCAGCTCTGTGGGTTTCTCTGGTTTGTTTGGCCAGGTTCTTTCTCCAGCATTAAGTACGGTGTTTTCTGCGTGAACGTGTCTCATATTGTAAAAGACATGTAATCTAAAGTACGTCACGTTAGCTGTTTTTATGTACATCGCCTGTTGCTGTGAGACCTTTACCACCCTCCATCTCTGGCCCTTTTCCTTCTTTCTCAGCTAACGGTCCCCACGAAGTCACTCCTCATCGCCTGCCCTCCACCCCTCCTGTCCCCCCACCCTTGGCACCCTCAGTTCTGCTTTCTGCTTTCCCTGTGGATCCTGAGGCTGTCGGGCCCACGCAGAAGCGCAGGTGAGCCTCGGAACTTGTCTTTTTGTGGCCGGCTTCTTTCACTGAGCGTAGCGTCCTCCAGATTCCTCATGTTGCAGCGGGTGTCGGAATATCCTGCCTTGTGCCTGCGTGTCGGGGTAGGGGACCCCAGGCCACAGCTCACAGGACCAGGAAGCGTCTCTGCCCAGCGGGGCAGCCTTGCTTCCCTGGAGCCTGAGCGGGAACCCGGCTGTGCTGGGGAAAGCTGCAGCTGGACCCAAGGCCACAGTGCAGGATGCTGCCGGGTTAGCGAGGGATAAATTTAACCACGCTGATGGAAAAGCATCCTGCGTCTTCCTTCCTCTGCTTCCCTTAGCCCCGAGGGCGTGACTCATGGGGGCATGGCTGTACCTCCCCACAGCCCACCCCGTGGTCTAGAGATGCAGAGATGCTGGTCTAGAGGGTGGGGGACCCTGACCCACAGAGCAGAGCCGGTGGGGTCAGTGGATGAGGGACCCCAGTCCACAAAGGGGACCCAAGAGGGGGTTAGTGGGTGAAGCCCCTCCTCCCCTTGTCTCAGCCAGAGCTCCACCCCTCCAACACCCTACTGCTGTGAAGTCTTGCTGCCCTAGGCACTGGGCAAATTAAACTGTGGTTAAATAAACACAAGATAAAGTTTACCCTCCTAAGCGCTGTGAAGTGTACAGTTCTGCGGCATCAAATACAGTCGCTTGTGCGGCCATCGCCGCCAGCACCTCCTGAGCGCTTTTCCTCTTGTGAGACTGAAACTCCAGCCCCAGGACACAGCGGCCAGCCCACCCCCACCCCCAGCTCCTGGCGAGCACCGCTCTGCTTTCTGCCTCTAGGGTTCTGTCTGCTCCAGGCGCCTCACGTCAATCGGGCCCTGTGATATCTGTGCTTCTGTGACCGGCCTGTCTCACTCCGCAGAGTGTCCCCGGGGCTTATCTGTGTGGTAGCCCGTGTCAACTTCCTTCCTCTTGAAGCTGAATAGTATTCCATTGCATGAAGAGCCCACAGCTTGTCTGTCCATCCGTGTGACCGTGGATGCTGGGGCGGCTCGCCCCTTCGGCTATTGTGATGTGACCGTGGACACTGGGGCAACTCGCCCCTTCGGCTGTTGTGAGTGATGCTGTTATGATAACGGGTGTGCAAACACACGCTTTGGGTTTTTACCGAAGCAGCTCTGGGGCAGGTGGTCCCGTGGGCTTGCCCCAAACAGGCCAGGGCAGAGCCCTGCACGTGTGGGCCTCCACTGGTCCCTCCCCACTGTCCAGAGAAGTGTGCACTCCTCCCGTCCCGGGTGTAGATGGGGAAACTGAGGCCAGTGGGGTGAAGGGAATTCCCGCCATGCCAGCATCTGGGCACGGTGCCAGGGCGCTGGGTGGGGGTGTGGGGTTCCGCATTCAGAACCCACGCCCTCACCTTTCCTGTGGGGCGCCCAGTCTCCCGTGTGCTTTTGTCCGTTCTCCCAGCTATTGGTTCATTCATCAGACCCTGAGCGGGTCCACTCACCTCCCTGTCCTGGGCTGGGCCGGGCGAGACACATCTAGGTTATACGTCCCGCCCTTCGGAGCTCACAGGATGGAGACCTAATCACTCAGGCAAAGAACCGGCGATGGACTACCCATGCCTGCCACAGGTGCCGGCTGTGGCTGTGTGCGTGTGTGCAAGCCACGCATTTGCCGACTCTGGCTACAGGTGAGGGGCGGAGGGCAGAGGGTTCCCTGAGCCCAGAGCCCGGTGCTCTGAGCCGGGTCTGTCTCTGCCGCTGCAGTGTTTTTCCACGATCCATGAGGATAAAGGTAGCCAGCCATGGTCTATCCTGTTGCTGGGGGGTTCTGCCTTCTTCATCAGTTCCTCCCCCAGATCCTTCTTTTGAAAGGTTTTAAGCACATAGAAAAGTTGTTGGTGTTGGAGGGCCAGTACAGTGAGTACCTTGTGATAATTTTTCACCTGAACGCATTAACTATTAACATCTTGCTGCATTTTGCTCTGGCCTTCTCTCTGTCTGTCTCTCCTGAACCATTTGTAAGTTAGTTGCATCGTAACTCCCAGGCCTTAGCACATGTCTGTATCCAAATATCTGCCACAGAAAATCCCCATTTCCTGTTGCCCCCTCCCCACAGGGCCCCTTTACAAATGTTTGTCTACGTTTTCTCCTCCAGGAGCCAGGCTGGGGTCTACACCACAGCCGGTTAACATGTCTCTGTCTTTGGCCTCTGTTATTCCGGGATGTTCTTCCCACTTGCTTTCTTTAGTTTTCCGTTCATGCCGCCGACACTTAGAGTCCAGACCTGTTTCCCTGTGGATTGCCCCCTCCCCGAGCTGGGTGGGTCTCTGTTCCTTGGTGATGGGCTTCGGGCTGAGCGTGCTTTGGCGAGAGGGTGCTGTGTGACGGCTCCCCACACAGGAGCACGCAGGGCCGCTGGTCCCGTGCGCGGTCAGGTTTTTAGCACCGCCCGCGTGCATCCAGCCGGGGTGCGAACTCCTGCACCCGTGGCTTTGCACCTGTGTGCAGACAGACCTGTGAGTGGAACTTATATGTCTGCCCAGAAGCGGCATGTGAAATGGGAATGTCGTCTGTCTGCCAAACCACTGTCCCTGGAGGCGGGTCCAGGTCACACCTTTACCCAAAGGACACCTGAGTCTCTTGTCCCCGTCCCCTCCCGGCCCAGCACTGGGCACTGTCTCAGATTCTCAGATTCACCAACGGATGGGGAGAGGGCCTCTCCCTGCTTCCCCCTGCCCCGTCCTGGGCGCTGAGGGCGTTGCTCTGGCGTCCGGGCCCTTTGTGTTTCTGTGAGTCTGCTGTTCCCTTCGTTGTGGTTTTCTGTGGGGCTGCTTGTCCGTCTGTGTTGCCCGAGCAGAGGGATGGGCGCGTGCCCTGCGCTCTGTCCGGCCGGGATGAGGAATCGCTCTCCATCTGAGCTCGGGTGGTGGGGCTCAGGAGCGGGTGTGTGTGTGTGTGTGTGTTGGGGTCAGGGGGCAGGCCAGGGGCGCGGGGAGCTGTGTCCAGGTGTGTTGCTGGGCGGGGAACACAGTGTGAGCTGAGGAGGGGGCATCTCTGAATGGGGAGACGGAGGTGAGATCACTTCCGATCATCCTCACCGGCGATCTCCCTGCTCGCCAGGTTCAAGGGGTCGCCGAGACCCTCTCCCCTCCTCGTCCTGCGGGGCCTCCTGTGGGCCTCTGGGCAGCCCCCTCCTCGCCTCGGGCACCTTCCCACCTGCTGACTCCTCCGCTGGACTCACCCACCTGCTCCTAAGTTTTCTCTCGGCCTTTGAAGTCAGCTTCAGCATGCTCTCCTCCTTCGAGAGGCCCCCTGCCTCCCACACCCTGCGGCAGCCCCGGCCCTGCCCCTGCTTTTCCTTCCCGTTACACGCTGATCGCAGGGCGAGCCTGCGCGTTCGCGTGCCTGCCTGACTGACTGTCAGCCTGCCAGCCTGCCAGCTCCTGGTGGGAGCCTCAGAGCTGACGGCCAGCCCGCCTGCACCGACAGAACACCCTGCTCAGGGCATCCACTGCTCCGTGACCAGACCGGACAGCCTCTGACTCGCTCAACCCTTGGGCGTCCGGGCTTGTCCGACTGCAGCCACCTCCTGGCTGATGCCTAGGGGGTCCCTGCTCTCTGTCGCCTTAGTGGGACCTTGGACTTGCTGTCTCGGGGGCATACGTGTTGTACACAGTGGTGTGGATGCTGTGGGGGTGGTGGGCTGAGGTGTGGCCCCTTTGGAGCTCAGCTCCCCTGACGTGGGCATGGATGAGAAGAGTGGAATGAAAGGAGGTGGTCCAGGCTGGCGTCTGGGGCGCGGAGTGCGGTCTCCATCCCGGAGGCCTCCTGAGCCCCCCGCCCCAGACATGGCGCTCCGTGCCGGGGACCCGGAGGTCGGCCTGGAAGGGAGGAGGGGTGGGGGCAGAGTCTCAACCTGGTGAGAAAGGAGGCGGGTGGGAGGAGCTGAGAGAAGGGGCAGCCCGGGGAAGGAGGGAGAAAGCCTAAGGACAACGCCGATGTGTGGCATGCGCTGCTCCGGGACCACCGACGGTGCTGGTGACGACGGGCAGGTCTGTGTTCTGGGCTGAGTTGTGTCCCGGAAGCGTGGTGCTGAAGCCCCGACTCTGGTCCCTGTGAACGTGACCTTATTTGGAAATAGGGTTGCTGCAGATGTGGCTCGTTGAGATGAGGTCACATGGAGTAGGGCGTCCTGATGAGACGAGGAAGAGAGACACGGACACGGAGACACGGGAGGAGGGCCCCGGGACCGCAGAGGCAGAGGCTGAAGGGCTGCCGCTCCGCACCGAGCGTCGCCCGCGACCCGCGTCAGGAGGAAGCCAGGAGGGGCTCTCCCCTGGCGGTTCCCGAGGGACCACCGCCCTGCTCCACCCTGATTCAGGACTTCCGGCCCCCAGACCGCGAGAGGATAGGGTTCTGTGACTTAAGTCGCTTAGCTTGTGGCCGTTTCTTCCAGCCAAACTCATACAGTTAGGAATTGGGACGGAGAGATGCCGCTCACCAAGTGCCCATCATGTGCCGCGTGAGGCGCCCGGCGCTTTCACCTGTATCGTCTCATTCAGTCTTTCTGCAGGAACCCCCTTATGCAGACGGGAAGCCGAGGCCCAGAGAGGCGAAGCCAATGGGCCCAGGACACACAGAGGCAGAGGCATGGAGCCGGCTGCAGACGCAAGGCTGCCTGAGCTTCGGAAGGGCAGCCAGCTGGGCGGCGGTGTGGGTGTGGGATGCGGGGCCTTGTTGGAGGGTGGGGAGAGGGGGCGAGGGAGGGCAGCCATGGTGAGGCCTTCTCTTTTCCGACCGTGAGGCTCCCGGAGGACTTCCAGGTGGAGGTGTCCAGCTCTGGGGGTTGAATGCTGAGGAGGGGCCCAGCTGGCTCTTAAGGAATCCTTGTCCAGGGACTGGACGATGTCTTAGATCCCTTTGAAGCTAATTTTTATGCCCCTGAGACAGCACTGGTGTCTTCCTTGCCTTAAACTCACCTGAAAAACCAGGACCCACGTGTCATAAATTTTTCAAGCCCTTGATTTCACTTGTTTCTCATCTTTTTAAGCAGTGTTCGGCAATGAAGATGCAAGTGGGCCTCAGTTGGGAAGGCTCGGGGCTGTGTGGACACAGAGTGGAGCTGTTAGGGGTGAAGAATTTTTCTGGAATGTGGGGCAGGGAGTGTGCGGGGAGGGGGGCAGTCAGGGGCTTGTGGACGCAAGTGGGGCCACCGAAGCCGCCTGGGACCACCCTCCCCCTTGCCTTTCTGGCTGGAGCCAGCTTGCTGGGGCCACAGGTGGAGGACCGTCCATGGGGCAGGGAGGCCTGGATCACGTCCTCGTATGTGGGGGTCCTTCCAGGCTCCTGCAGTCCCACCCACCCTCTGTGTCCAGGAAGAGCGTGTTTCTCTCTTTTCTTTAAATCACTGTCATTTCTGCCTGGTCCCCCCACTCTGGCAGGGGTACAGGCGTAGAAGTCAGGATAGAACTTTCTCCACTGCAGGTGGCGACCCATTTGTGGGTGTGAAATCGGTTTAGTGGGTCACAGCAGCCTTTGTTACATAAGAGGTTGAATTGAATAGAAAAAGAACAGACCCAGTCTGGAAAAAGAAAGGAAAATAGCAGAGCACATCCCAAGTAATAGGGCGAAGTATTGTTTGGTGAAAAGAAAAAACCTGTTACGTATTCACATATCATATTAACTATTGCTGTGTCGGGGGCAGGCTGAAAAATGCTCCCCCACCCCAATACATCACATCCTCTCTTAGGACCTGTGAGTGTTTGGGGAAAAAAGGCGGGGTTTTGCAGATGGGATTAAGGTAAGGAGGCTGCACTGGGGAGGTTATCCTGGATTATCTGCATGATATCCTAAAGGCATCACAGTGACTCTTAGAGGGGCAGAGGGAGGCTACAGACAGACAGACAGAGGAGAAGGGGCCAGGCCAGCAGGGTGGTTGGAGATGGAGTGATGCCACCACGAGCCAAGGATGCCGGCTGCCGCTCAGAGCTGGAAGAGGCGGGAAGGCTCCTCCCTCCGGACCCCGAGGGAGCCCTGCCCACAGACACCTGCGTCCCAACCCCGTGGTACCGACTTTGGACTTCCGGCTTCCAGAACTGTTGTTTACCAGCTTGTGCTGATTTACAGGAAACTAGTACGCTGTGGAATGAACAATCCCAGAGCTCAGAGGCTAAATCGGCAATCAGTTATCCTGGCTTGGAGCCTGTGGGCTGGCCGGTCAGCTCAGCTGACCAGACCGGGCTCTCAGGGGGCTGGCCTGTCCCATCTCCACCTTCCTCCTGGGACCATCAGGCTGGCCTGGGGGATGCGCTCCGTGCAGGAAGAGCGGAGGGAGCTGTGTGACGCCTGAACCCGCAGGCGGTCGCTTCCACTTGCGTGCGTGCAGTGACCAAGCCAGACGCGGGAGCTGACACCAAGTCACGGGGCCAGAAGAGCCCTCCGCCTCTGGAGGGGACCCTGGTGAGGGGGCAGGAACGGGGGCCCAGACCCGGCCCATCTGCAGGCGTGCACCCCTGTGCATGTGGGGCCACCACCTGGCAGACGCGCCTCTCTGTGCGCTGATGCTGGAACCATGTGGAAGCTGCCCGCCGGCGGCAGTGAGCCTGGTCCCCTATGCCCTGGACGCAGCCGTTTGTGGGTTTTCAGGGCTCGGCTCTGCCTCTCTGCGGCTCTCCCTGAGAATCAGTCTGGAAAGTTCTGGGTGGGGAAGGGACAACGTCCCACCTCACCCCTCACTCCACATCCTCAGAGGGATAGATGGGGGCTCATCCTGCAGGGTCCAGGGTGGGGGGACCGCTCCCCCACAGCCCCAGCTCGTCACCATCCCAGGAGGGGACATGCACATCCACCGTTAGCTTGGGCTCACCGGGGTCCTGGTCCTCCACCTTGAGTGCACACGGGGACTTTGGAGAGGCCGCGGGGCAGGAATCTCCCACGATGACGCTGAGCGGCCATGGCCCGTCCTCCCCGTGGGTGCTGCCTTCTGTTGCCCCTCCTGCCCCCTCCCCCCAGAATAGATACAGAAGAGGGGTGGGGCCCAGGCAGCCCCCCCACCCCTGGTCCTGGGAAACCACCTGAGGCCATGGGAGAGGAGACCGTGGGTCCCGGACCCCTGGAACCTCTGTGGGCAGGTGAGGTGCCCCCACAAGCCAAGCGCAGTCTCCCACGGGCCTGGCAGCCACTGCACTTGGTGAGTCATGGCATGTGGTGGGGGGCCCTGGGCTCCATGGGGGCCTTGGTGCAGGCCAGGCCGGGTGGGCAGGGAAGGTGCCCGGAGCTGAGGGTCGGTCAGGCAGATACCTGGAGAGTCACGGAGCCCAGGGAAGGCCTAGTGTGGTCAGCGAACACCAGATCAGGCCAGCTGAACCAGGCCTGGGGCGGATTTCTGCCCCAGGGTCCCAGGGGCCAAGGAGCCCCCAGCCTACAGTTCCCATCTCCTGGGAGATCCTTCTGGCAGTGTTGTGGCCACTCGTGCCATGCATAGGGGTCTTGGCCCCCCCAGCCCAGATGGACAGGAGGCATCAGGCCTGGGGTGGGACCCTGGTGGGGGAGGCACCAGCCCTGGGGAGGTAAGGCCGGAAGGCAAGACAGCTGGCCTCTGCGCTTCCCAGGAAGCAGCGGGCTTGGGGTTCATATCCAAGCCGTCTTCTCTGGGATGCATGGGAGAGGGAGGCGGTCCTTCCGAGGGGGCCTTGAGCCACACTGAGTCCGGGTGGGAGTGGTGCCTGCCCTGTGAGTGGACGGTACCCGTGGCTCCTGCTACGATGATTCTCTGCCTGGGCAGACCCCAGCCTCTCTCGTTCTCAGGGTGAGACTGACCCAGGGTTTTTGATGGAAGGTCTGTTGCCCTGGCCGCTGCCCACCTTCCCACCCCAGCAGAGCCTCATGTGGCTGAGGGCGTCGTCCTGCCGGGAACATCAGCCCACCGTCTCCCCCCTCCAACCTCCGTCCCGGAGTCGAGCAGCTCTCCACCTGCTGGTCTCTGAGTCACCCCGGGTTCTCTCTGCCGGGGCATCCCCTCAAGCCCCCCAGGAGCGCCCACCGCTCCTGTGATACCCCGACTGGTCGTATCACCGACTGGTCAAGCACCAGTCGCCGGGTTTCCCTTCTTCTCCCGCCTGACTCTCAGACTCAGAGCCTGCGAGCTGGCCCAGCTCCCCCCCGTCTCTGCCTCGGTGTCCTCACGGGGGAAGTAGGGACGTGACGGTCCCTGCCTCGGGTGCGGGGCTGGCTGCGGGCTCAGCGGGGGCTGCTGTCTTTGTCGCCATCACCAACATGGTGGTCATTTCAGCCCCGAGCAAGGCATAGAAGCTGCAGAATAGATGAGTGGAGAGAAGCTCTCCTCTGTAAGCCCGCGGGGCTGTCACTGTCTTCCTGGGATGTGTCATCCGTACCCACTGGCGGGACCCGGGGGCCGGCCTGGCGTGATGCTGCCTGCAGCCCTGTGCTTACCACCCCCTGCCCACTGGGCAGAGAGGTTCAGACCAGTGCGATTAGTCGTGCAGTGTTAGCCACTCAGTCATGTCTGACTCTTTGCAACCCCAAGGACTGTAGCCCGCCAGGCTCCGCTGTCCATGGGATTCTCCAGGCAAGGATACTGGAGTGGGTAGCCATTCCCTTCTCCAGGGGATCTTCCCAACCCACGGATCGAACCCGGGTCTCCTGCACTGCAGGCGGATTCTTTACTGTGTGAGCCCCCAGAGACGACCTAGTGTGGCTAGCGAATGTCAGATCAGACCGGGAGAGCCGGCGGCCAGCATCCGCTCTGACTCTTCAGAGCCAAGCGGATGAGGTGCTTTCTGCTGGCTGCCCGTGGAGGGCTGACATGGCCCCTCTGCCCCAAAAGCCGCTGCAGCTGAGCGCTGGAAAATATGACCCATGCTCCAGGGCGTGGCCACTGAGCCTCTCCGCTGTGGGATTCTGGCCCGCGGCCACTAGGCCATCACACGCGCGGTAAGCCAGGATAACGCCTGCAGGTTCTCAGGGGCCACGTGCTGGGGGCCAGGCAGGCCTTCCTGCTTGTGTGGTTCATGGGTCACAGGGCGTTTCTGCCCCCGGAGAGCTTAACGCCGAGTGTCACAGAGAGGCATCCACAGGGGGCACCCAGGGGACGAGGGGTCTCTCACGCTGCCTTTATGCCTAGGGGCCCCCCCGAGTGTCCCAAGCCTGAGTCTCCTCCCGTCTGGCACACGGGGGCTGTGGAGTGGGTTAAGTCGCCCCGACATTCATGTCCATCCGGAACCTTCATGTGTGACCTTATTTGGAATAGGGTCTCTGCAGGGTAATCAGGGTAAGGATGGAGAGGAGGTCCTCCTGCAAGAGAGGGGACCCTAAATCCGGTGACTGGTGTCCTCATATAAGAGACAGAAAAGGACACGCAGGGACATACAGAGAAAAGCCAGCCCTGTGGGTTCAGGGGCTGAGATGGCAGTGATGTGGATGCTAGCTCAGGTTGCCCGGAGCCCCCAGAAGCTGGCGATGAAGGGAAGCACCCCCCCACCACCGCCCCAGAGCCTTTGGGGGTTTCTGTCTGCAGACTGGGGGAGAGGCCACAGCTGTGGAGCTTGGTCCCTAGGATGCAGGCAAGGGCTGGGAAGCGCTGGGGGGGGCTTGCGGGCCGGACCGGCCATGCGGGGCCGCAGATGGACCCAGCTCCCCGGGGACCCTCCCCCACTGCCCTTGCAAAGCCGCTTTCCCGGACGCCCGGGAACAGGTGTGTCTCTGGAGCGGGGTGGCAGTCTATTTCCGTGTGCCGGCGGCCCAGCCCTCCTCGGGCATGAGAGCGGCAGCTGCCTCGTGACCCTCTGGCGTGTCCCTCGCGGGCCGTGCTGGCCACAGAGGCTCCAGCCCTCGGCCAGCTGCCGCCCGCCCGCGGCCTCCCGGGTGCCGGCCGGACTCGCGGAGGTCCCAGTCCATGGGGATGCCTGGAGGAGGGACAGGTAAGGCCCACGCTGCCCTCACCGCTCTGACCATCAGCCCGGGAGCAAGGCTTCTGTTCTGACCGGAAGTCTCCAGTCCCCCCAGAAATCCCGGGGTCCCACCCGAGGGGACGCAGCGTGAGCTCTGCCGTGTGTGCAGGCAGACGTGGCCGGAGCTGACGCGTGCCCACTTCGTGCCCGGCCTCGGCGACTCTCCTCTGGGCTCTTGGTGGCCGCCCTGTGCTGTGACCCATTTTACAGATGAGGAAGCTGAGGCTCGGGGAAGGGGAGGCACACCGCGGTGGGTGATGCTGTTGGGCCCCTGCTCTGGGTTGAGCCTGTGCCTCCCTGCTGCTGCCTTTTGCTTCTTTCCTGGTGGTTCTGTCTTCAACCAGGGCTGACTTTGTTCCTGGGGGAGGGTGGGGGGCGTTCGGCCCTGACTGGAGCCACTTCTAATGGCCTCAGCTTGGCAGGTGATGGGGTACCACAGGCCCCTGGGGGGGGCAGTTGAGGCCAAAGCCACCGCTCACCTCCCCGTGGTACACGGGGCGGGCCCACAGAAGCGTGGTCCAGCCCAGAATGTCGGTTGGGCCCGAGGCTGAGAAACCAGCCTTAAGAGATATCGTCATGACTTCGGTCCTTCTGTTGTTGATGCGAACAGCAGGGCCCATCAAGGTAGAAAGAAACGCTAAGGAGCTTCCAATCCGTTCCAGCCCCACCTCGGATGACAGATGACGGGAAGAAAGCTCTGGGGCAGGGGGAGGGGCTGGAGGAGGAGACGGAGTCGGGGGGGGGGGGGGGGGCGCAGGGGAACGAGCCTGGACACCCGGAGCGGGGTGGGGTGCAGCGGGGAGAGCCTCTGAGAGCTGAGGCATACAGGGCTGGGGGCCCCGGCAGGGTCCAGCCTCCATCCTGAAGGGCTCCCAGCCCGGCGCTCAGGGCTCATCCTGGTACGAGGCTCAGTGCCCAGCAGACCCTGTCTCTGGGCAGCTGGGCAGAGTCCCCGCCTCTGGCGTCCTCTGTCTGTCCGGAGGCAGGATCTGGGACCCTCGTCCGTGTGTCTCTGTCAGCACCCCACACTCTGCAGGCTCAGGGGGGATTTTATGCAGGAAGCAGCCCCTGGGGTGCCGGGTGAGCTGCAGCAAAGGTTTGAAGCCGGACCTGCCTCTGGCCTGACCCCACTGTGGGCCTGGTTTGGGCGCTGTCTTGCTCTGGGGTAGGGGAAGAGGCACATTCTGGACCCCCTCCATAAAATGGGGGTGTTTACAGTTCTTCCCTCCCAGAGTGCCCTGAACCCTCCTAGCAGACTCTCCATGTTTGTCCCCCCACATGTGTAGTTTTGGGTGCCCCCGCCTCCCCGGGCTGGCTGGACGCAGCCCCACATAGAGGTCTTGCTCTTGGCCTTAGAGCTCCGGCTGGCTAGGGGTCAGATAACATCCCCCGACCTGCACTGTGGACTGGATTGTTCTGAAAACCCCAGCGCATTCCAGGTGCTGAGACATGTGACGGTGTTCGCTTCTCAAATGGAATTTCCAGGCTGGCGGCTGGGCGGGTCTCCCCATGCGGCTGAGGACTCGGTGTCCTTCACGCCCTGCTCTCACCAGACAACGGGCAAAACAATCGTCATATTAAAAGCTGCGCAAAACCCAGTGAGATAAGCCTGTTGTGCCAGAGTCATAGACAAAGAAATGTCATCTTGTGATAAAAGTGCCAGGGAGCGAGAGGTGACTCTATTTATGTAAAATCGTAATAAGAGTTAAAAGTTAAAGAATGGTAGAACTTTTGGAAGAAAATATTTTATCAGGGTAAGGATTTGTGATCTTGGGGGTTTCTTAGAAATGACACTAACTACACAAGCAAGAAGACAAAGATACATTGGATGTCTTCAAAATGAAGCAGTCTTACGCTGCAAAGATTATTATGAAGCAAATGAAAGCACAAACCACAGAACAGGAGACAGTTTCTGCCAATCATGTATCAGAGGATGGGCTTGTGTCTAGAACAAGTGTGTGCATGCATGCTAAGTCGCTTCAGTTGTGTCCGACTCTTTGCAGCCCTATGGACTGTGGCCCGCCAGGTACTTCTCTCCATGGGATTCTCCAGGCAAGAATACTGGAGTGGATTGCCATGCGCTCCTCCAGCAGAGCTTCCTGACCCAGGGGTCGAACATGTATCTCTTATGTCTCCTGCATTGGCAGGCGGGTTCTTTACCACTAGCGCCACCTGGGAAGCCCTTCTGGAATACATGAAAGTGAAAGTCGCTCAGTCATGTCCGACTCTGCAACCCATGGACTATACAGTCCATGGGATTCTCCAGGCCAGAATACTGGAGGGGGTAGCCTTTCCCTTCTCAAGGGGATCTTCCCAACCCAGGGATCAAACCCAGGTCTCCCGCATTGCAGGCAGATTCTTTACCACTAGCACCACCTGGGAAGCCCATCCAGAATATATAAACAACTCTTATAACTCAATCAGAAAAAGCCAAATTCAATGAACAGAAGATCTGAATAGACATTTTTCCAAAGACGATATCCAGCTAGTGAACAAACACGTGAAAAGATGCTCAGCATCGGCAGCTATCAGGAGATGCAGACCCAAGCTACAGTGAGACACACCTCACGACCATCAGGGTGAGTGCATGCTCGGTCGTGTCTGACTCTGTGACCCCGTGGACTGTAGCCCACCGGACTCCTCTGTCCAGGGGGTTCTCCAGGCAAGAAAACGGAAGTGGATTTCCTCGCCATCCTCCTTCAGTCCCTGCCATCTTCCCGACCCAGGGAGTGGACCCGTATCTCTTGCATCTCCTGCATGGCCGGTGGATTCTTTACCACGGCACCACCTGGGAAGCCCTTCGGGGTGACCGTGATGAAAAGGACCAGCGGTACCCGATATTGACGAGGATGTGGAGAAGCTGCTGGTGGGAGGGTGAAGTGGTGCAGCTTCTTAGGGGAGCGGTCTGGCAGTTCCTCAGACAGTTAAATGCAGACTTACCGTATGACCAGTAAGGAAAGGGGAACGTCCACACAAAAGGGCCTGTGCCAGAGCGCCCAGAGCAGATTATGTGTAACAGCCCCAAGGTGGTGACCACCCTGGAGGCCATGAGGTCTGTTCCTGTAGTGGACAGTTATTTGGACATAAAGAGTTACGATGTGCTGACCCCTGCTACAGCGTGGATGAATGTTGAAAGCCTTAACCTGAATAAAGGAAGTCAGACACAAAGGACCACGTATGGTATGTCTGTCTTTATATGAAATGTCCAGAGTAGGCAAATCCACTACAGAGACAGAAAGGTCCATTGGTTGCCAGGAGCAGGGGCGGGGGGGGAGGGATGGTAATGGGTGAAAGTGAGAGTGAAGTCACTCAGTTGTGTCCGACTCTTTGCGACCCCGTGGGCTGCAGCCCATGGGATTCTCCAGGCAAGAGTACTGGAGTGGGTTGCCATTTCCTTCTCCAGAGGACCTTCCCGACCCAGGGATCAAAGCCGGGTCTCCCTCTTTGCAGGCAGAGGCTTTACTTTTCAGAGGGATGGAAATATTCTGAAGTTGACTGTGGTGGTGGGCACACCTCTATGAACGTACAACCATCCAGACACCCAGTTCTAACGAGACACACACTCAGGACACGCTTCCCCTCCCATCACCCTCCTTGGACCAGCGGGTTAGGTGGAGAACACGCGAAAGGACAGAAGGCTAAAGGAAGTGGGGAGGGCGGGGAAGCCAGAAGAAATGGGAAACCAGGCCGGTCACACAGAGACCTGGGCTTGAATCCCTCCCCTGTCGGTTACAAGCTGTGTGATCTCAGCCAGTTGCTAAGCCTCTCTGAGCCTCGGTTTCCCCGCCAGCATGCTGCGGGAGGTGATCGTGCATCTCCAGCCAGTTGGCGTGCAGAGCCCACAGCCAGGCAGAAAGGAGAGTTGCGGTATTTCTGGGTGGCCGCTGGGGACAGAGCCTGCCCTCGGAAGTCGCAGGCCAGCTGCTGTCCCTGCTACCCTCCCCCGGCCCTGGCGGCCCCTCCGAGAAAGGAGAGGAGACTGGAGCTCCTGCAGAACCACCCAGCAGATACTAGACCCCTCCATCCCTCCCTGCTCCATTCACAGACTCCCGCCGGGGACCCGGCAGCACCAAAGCCAGTGGGTGGGGTGTCTTACTTGGTTGAGGATCGTCCAGCCCAGATTTTCAGACCCCAGCTGAGACCCCTTCGTTAGCAACACAGATCACCAAGGAGGCTCTTAAGGTCCACCCTTTGTGGAGAAACATAAGGATTGTAGGGCTGGCCTTCCTCGTGGGTCTGGAATCCTGTGCACGTCGTGGACAGAGGTGCTGTGGCCCCGAGGTGCAGGTCGGAGGAGTTTTAAATTGAACGTTGCTGTTGGTCTTGCACACTTCGGTCACGGGAAGCCGCTTCGTGACTTGGGGGAGGAGGGTCTTTGTCTATCAGGCAAGCATCTGGGGGGCAAGTACGGAGCCACGAGGCCAGGAGGAGGGTCAGGCCGGGAATGGAGACCCCAAGAAAGGGCTGCTGGCCCTGGGAAGGACGCAGAAAGCCTGGGCTCCAGGCTCAGTTGAAGGAGGGCCCTTCCACCACAGGAGATGTTGCTGGGCTGACGGCTGGTGAAATGGGTGCTTTTGCCGAGGCTATGAGCCTGCAGCTGCTGGGCTGCTCAGAGTCCATGAACACAGCCGTGGACAGGGAGGTTTGCCAAGCAGGGGCACCCTGGGAAGATGCCACACAGCGAGTTAGGTCCAAAGTGGGCCCGCCGCCCCCAGAGCTGGTCCCCTCCCTGCCCTCTGCCCCTCGCCTGTCTCCTCTACCCCCAACCCTGCCCAGCATGCCACAGAGGGGAGAGCAAGACTCAGAGAGACTGGGCTTCCGGTTCCGGCCTGGAAGCTGCTTCGGTCCTTGGAACCTGTTTGTCCATCTCAGAATGGTCAAGAGAGGATGTTCCCTGATGTGCAGAATGAACGGGATAATTGGACTTTAAGTGATGGGTCGGCAGCAGGCTCTGGAAGGTAGACAGCATCCTCCTGGGAGGGGTCAGGAGGAGAGGCTGGGGGAGGGGTATGGTGACCTCTCGGGTGCCCTTGCTGGGTTCAAAGCCAAGGACTCTTCTGGGCCACAGGGACTCGCTGATGGTGACCTGAGGGGCAGCTGGGTCCCCGTCAGGTGGGTGGTGTCTCCAGGCCAAGGCTGCAGCCCCATCTCCAGGGGTCTGGGCAGGAGAAGGGGGCAGCTTCTGACTCTGAGCGGGCGCGTGTGCACAAGGGGTGTATCGGCCAGTCCCCCAGCTGGCTGCGCTCCCCCACTCTGCCTGGAGGGTGAGGGTCCCTGGCAGGATTAGCACAGTCCTCACAGACCCTCAGGCTTTCCAGGTGGCCCAGTGGGTAAAGAATCCACCTGCAATGCAACAGATGCAGACAGATGCGAGTTCAATCCCTGGGTTGGGAAGATCCCCTGGAGGAGGACATGGCAACCCACTCCAGTATTCTCGCCTGGAGAATCCCATGGACAGAGGAGCCTGGCGGGCCACAGTCCGTGGGGGTTGCAAAGAGTCAGACATAACTGAAACGACGCCTGCAGCACGCACAGACCCTGGTGGGAGCTGACAGCTGGGGCTTGGGGTCCTGCAGGCCCGGCTTACAGTCCCCGCGGTGCCGTATGCCCACTCCCGGCCTGTGACCCGGGTCACTGGTGGGAATCGCCCAGCGCCGTGTCTGGCCGTTAGTGCAGGCCCAGGAGCCGAAAGCTGGTGTTGTCACTCAGACTGGTACTTCTCACCCCCTCAGGGTGCCGTTCTGTGCTCTGAGTCACCAAACGCACCCCCGTTTCCCATCAGACGTCAGAAATATTCATGGGGCACCTGCTGTGAGCTGGGCCTGAGCCGTACGCTGAAGACCCAGATGATGTCCCTGGCTAGCCCAGCGGTGGCTGCCTGGCCCACGGCGAGGTGACATGGGGGACACGCGGTGGCTCTGGCCTGGGAGTCCAAGCTCTGGCCCCAGCCTGGCCTCACACTTGCCCTCTGCTTTCCCCTGTGTTGGGGTGGGGGATGGGCCCAGATGCCCACCTAAGCCCTGACCTTCCGGAATGCTGCCTGTGAGATACTCAGATGCCTCGCCGGTCAGGAAGGCAGTTCTTCCGGCGATGAAATAACACCCTCCAGGGACGTGGGTGGCCGGGGCGCCTGGGCCAGCTGCTTGAAGCTTCAGGAGTCTGTGAGTTGCCAGAAGCTGGAGACGAAGGTAGCTGGGCGCCCCCCGTGGGCAGCCTGAGCTTCCGGGGGTTAGGCATGGGGTTGCTCACTGCCGTGTTCTCGCAGCTTCTGCCTCGGGGTGGGGGGCAACCCCTCTACCAGCAGACACCACCCCCTGCAAAGCCCCTACCGCATGCCAGTCTGCAGAAGCCCAGCCTGGGACAGCGTGACTGTCCCCCCATGCAGAGGAAGACAGCCTCGGGGGACAGTGGGGCGGCAAGTGCCCAGCCCTGCCTCCCGCTCCTGGTGGCCACGGGAACAAATCCCGCAGACCTTTCTTCCCAGACGGCTCTGGAGGCCAGGGGCCTAAAGTCGAGCTGTCCCCTGCACGGACTCCTTCCGAGGTCTGCGGGGACGGGGCCTGTCTTGGCGTGCCGATGGCCATCTCCTCCCTGCATCTCCACTCCTCGAACCTCTGTGCATCTCTGCCCCAGTTTCCTGTTTATTAGGACACAGTCGTGTTGGAGATAGACCGACCGAGTGGCCTCACTGTAACTCGCGCGCCTCTCTCCAGGCCCCGGTCACGTTCCAAGGAGTTGAGGGCCAGGACTCCCACGTGAGGGGGAAGCGGTTCACTTGTGCTGTCTCCCATTATCCTCGCCTCCTGAGAGTCCACGGAGGTTCCTCTTTCCGCGCACAGTGGGGTCATCGCGTGGGTGGGGGGGTCGTCGTGTGGGCTGGGGGGCCGTCCCTGCATGAAGCAGGAATCTGGGGTTTCCCCGCTTGAACTCTGCCTGAGCTTTGCCATTGGTCGCTGGGGCCGGGACAACTGGCCTGCAGTCCTAACCTGGCGTCTCCCTGGCTGAGCAGCTGGGCCCAGGCGCCTGGGGGATTTTGGTGTGGCATCTGCTTGGGAACTGGCTACGGCGGCCCTGGTTGAATTTGGAGCAGGCAGGACCCATTTCTGGAACCAGATCCAGAAGGTGATAAACTTGTCCCAGGGCAGAGAGATCACACCAGTCAATCCTAAAGGAAATCAACCCTGAATATTCACTGGAAAGACATGCTGAAGCTGAAGCTCCAATACTTTGGCCTCTAAGAGCTGTCAGTTCAGTTCAGTCTAGTTGTTCAGTTGACTCTTTGCAACCCCACGGACTGCAGCACGCCAGGCTTCTCTGTCCATCAGCAACTTTCAGAGTTTACTCAAACTCACGTCCATCAAGTCGGTGATGCCATCCAATCATCTCATCCTCTATTGTCCCCTTCTCCTGCCTTCAACCTTTCCAGCATCAGGGTCTTTTCCAGTGAGTCAGTTCTTTGCATCAGGTGGCCAAAGTATTGGAGCTGACTCATTAGAAAAGATCCTGATGCTGGGAAAGATTGAAGGCAGGAGAAGGGGACGACAGAGGATGAGATGTTTGGATGGCATCACCGATTCGATGGACGTGAGTTTGAGCAAACTTCAGGAGATAAAGTGAAGGGCAGGGAAGCCTGGCAGGCTATAGTCCATGTGGTCGCAAAGAGTCGGACACGACTGAGCAACTGAGCAGCAAGTGCAAAGAGAGCTCAGAGCTGCTGGGAGCAAAGCAATCTCATCAAGGGAGGAGCTGTCTTCTTAAAAAGCAAGGGGAGGTGGGTGCAGCCCAGGAGCGGCTGAGGACCCCAGAATGAGAAGCTGCCGTGGGTGGGGCTCTGACTGGGTGGAATCTTTATGGGTGGAGCCTGTCGTGGGTGGAACCACAGTGGGTGGAGCCTGCAGCTGGCAGAGGAGGCGGATCCTGGGTTGCAGCTGCCTTGAGCATGGAAGAATTGATAATTTTGAACTGTGGTGTTGGAGAAGATTCTTGAGAGTCCCTGGACTGCAAGGAGATCCAACCAGTCCATCCTAAAGGAAATCAGTCCTTAGTATTCATTGGAAGGACTGATTTGAAGCTGAAACTCCACAACACTTTGGCCACCTGATGTGAAGAGCTGACTCATTGGAAAAGACCCTGATGCTGGGAGGGATTGGGGGTGGGAGGAGAAGGGGACGACAGAGGATGAGATGGCTGGATGGCATCACCGACTCGATGGACGTGAGTTTGAGTAAACTCCGGGAGTTGGTGATGGACAGGGAGGCCTGGCGTTCTGTAGACCGTGGGGTCACAAAGAGTCGGACTCAACTGAGCGACTGAGCTGAACTGAGAGTTCCAGGAGGGAGGCCAACCTGGGGCTGAACCCCAGCTCCACCCCTCTGGCCGTGTGGCTTTGGGCTGGTTACCGACCTTCCGGAGCTCAGTTTCTAGCTCTGCCAAATGTGCATAACGATGTCCACCTCGCTGGGTGGTTGTGACGACTCCAGTCAAGGTCACATCAGATGCTGGGCACTTCCTTTCCTGGGTCAAAAAGGCCAGCAACTATGGGACTTTGGCTGCGGAGGCAGTGACCTTACCGTCTCTGGAACAGACCTCAGGCGGGGCAGGCGCAGAGGTGGGAGAGGGGACCTTGTATAGACGCAGCATGGGGCTGCCTGGGCTGGTGGTTGGCGTGGCGTTCTGGTTTTTTATGGCTGCGTAACTAACCGCCCCAAACCTTCATGGCATCAGACAAGCGTTCTCTGACACTCACAGGTTCCGAGGAACAGAGATTCTGAAAGGGCTCCGTGGGGATGTTTTCTCTCTCTTCCATGGTGTCTGTGGTTTCAGCTGGAAAGCAAGAAAGCCTGGGGTGACTCAAGCCCTGGGGACTGGCATCTCTGGAGGTGCCCCGACTCGCAAGTCTGGGGGACGTGTGGGGTGATCTGGGCTTCCTCACAGCCTGGCTCCCGGCAACCTAGGAAGCCAGGCAGAGGTCTGCGGCTACTGTGACTTGGGTCAGGGCAGCGGCAAAGGTCCACCCAGGTCCCGGGGAGGGTCTCAGAGCTCACCGCTCAGCGGGAGGAGGATCAAGCCTTGTGGGACAGGAACCTGTGGTTGGGGCTGGAGTTCGGCTGTCTTTACACATCCAGTCAGTCATGTGATCAGTTCTATTGCAGACACTTGTGCTGAAGCCCCGGTTCCAGGCCCGAGACCCCAGGCAGAGCGGCGCTCGTCACTGGCTTTGGGGAGCCGCCGTCTGGCCGCGGGGCAGGTCCGGGGCTCAGCTGAGGACAGGGGACTGCACAGGGCTTGCAGAGATCACGCTTGTGGGGAATCTAAGAGCACACGCAGCTTCACACGGCAGTGGCACCCCAGCGGGCCCCTGCTGTTCGCTCGGGAAATTATAGACTCAGGCCTGGGGACGGGTCTCAGGGTGAACATTCCTGTGCCCGGGGGCCAGCGTCAGTGCGATGAGCTTCCTGCAAGGGGTTTCCACGTCTGTCTCCACCTCCATGCCCTTGGGTGTGAGCTCCTCAGGGTGGGGGACCGTGTCCTCGTTGCCCCGTGCCAGCCGGAGCCCGGCAAGGAGCCGGTACCACCGCAGCCTCGCCGAGGACGGGTGAATGATGTGTTTGCAGAGGCTTCAGGCCTGGCAGTGCTGAGACCCTTGCAGCCGGCTCACTGGGCTCGGGCTGCCCACAGCCTCGGCGAGACGGGCCGGGTCAGAGAGCCGCGTCCTGGTTCCCGGTTTCGTTCTCAGCAGCCCTTGAGGAGGTGAAGATGGGGAGTGACTAGAGGCGCTTCGCTTTGATTTACCAACGCATAACAGCAGGAGCGGCCAGGCCTGTTCCCAAACCCGGCAACCTGTAAAGAGTGTCCTGAGGGCAGGGGACACAGACCCCCTAAGGTCTTCGTGCCGCCAACTCCCTGTTCAGAAAGCCAGTCTGAACAAACCCCTCTGCTGGAGGCTGCCGCTAGCTGCAGGGGTGCTGGTGGTCGCCAGGTGTGTGAGCGCTGTCGCCCAGCCGGGCCTGGCTGAGCGCCTTTTGCTCTGTCTGCACTGGTACCCGGCCCGAGGGAGTTGCCCTTCTCAGACCTGGCCCCTGACCCAGGAGAGGAACGTGGTGATGGGCGCTTGCTGCTGCCCTGAAGATGCTGGTGCAGCGCGTGTCACCTCCTCCTGGAAGCCCTCCCTGACTGACACTTCCCTGCAGCACCTGCCCACAGCCCGGTAGCCTCCCTCGGCACTTCTGTGCTCACTGTCATGGTTAGAAAGAAAAGCCTGAGAGGGGAGGTGAGGACTCAGCACCTGGTGGGACCCGCTCTGGGTGCATCGGAGCCCCAGGAGAGGCTGTGACGCATGGTCGTATAAAGCTTATTCAATATTAGAGCGGACTTGTAAAATGCAGAAACCCCACACCAGCTGTTGGCGTCATACAGAGAGCAAGATGGAGAGTGCTACAAAACCATCACGCTGATGGAGCTTGGGTTCCCCTTGGATTCCCCGAGGATGCAGGGACTCCACGTCCTGATAGCGAAGTGAATTTACCCTGAGAGCGAAGCCTGGAAAATAAGCTGAACATGGGCTATTGGTCCTTGGCCAAACCAGCAGTGCCTACTCGGGGTCCGGTGTTAACCGGACCCTCCGGGAAGGGACAGGGCCAAATGTAGAGGCTTTGAGGGAGGGCAGAGATACACAGTCAAAAAAGTCCCCAAGGACCCCAGAACGCTGTGTGCTTTGCTGTCTGGAGCGCGAGGGATGAGATGAGTCCCTGGAACAAGGGAGGTGCCTGCCCCCACCTCCACGCGCTGGGCCCTGCGTGTCCCGCCACACCAGTCCCTGGCCAGTTTGCACACCTGCCTCCCTGAATGCCCACCAGCTCCTCTGTTCCTGATTGGTGAACAAGCAAGTGCATGATTGGGACTTTCAGACCAGCAGGTGGCAAGGGGGCTGGCGATATTGGACACCTGAGCAGCAGGGACCCTGGCCGAGTCCCTAATCCAGCCACGTGGCTTTGGGAAAGCCCCCAGGCATCCCTCCGCCTCCATGTGTACTCAATCAGTCGTGTCCGACTCTGCGACCCCCATGGACTGTAACCACCAGGCTCCTCTATCCTTGGGATTCTCCAGGCCAGAATACTGGAGTGGGTGGCCATTCCCTTCTCCAGGGGAATCTCCCCAACCCAGGGATGGAACCCAGGTCTCCCGCATTGCAGGTGGATTCTTTACTGTCTGAGACACTAGGGAAGCCGCCATATCTTCATCTGTAAAATGGGGGTGACAGGCCATTTCCGTAGGAGGGTTGGGGTATGGATCAAGTGAGGGCCAGGACTGGGTCTGTTTTGTTCCTGTGGGATCTTGGCACATAGTAGGTCTCAGACGTTTGTTGGGTGGATGACTGAATGGTGAACAAGAAGAGCTTTGTTGGCTGGAGTTGGGAGTTGCTCACACTTTGGCCGAGCAGCCTGCAGTTCTGCCGCCAGAATGAAGTTGCGGCGACCTGCAGTGGTTTCCATGGTTAGGGCACCGAGGAGGGAAGGGAAAGATGCTGGGGAGATTGAAGACAAGAGGAGAAGGGGATGACAGAGGATGAGATGGTTGGATGGCATCACCGACTCAACGGACATGAGTTTGAGCAAGCTCTGGGAGTTGGTGATGGACAGGGAGGCCTGGCGTGCTGCAGTCCATGGGATCGCAAAGAGTCGGACACGACTGAGCGACTGAACTGAACTGAACTGAAGGGTCAGGGTAGATGGTCTGAGGCAGGAGGAGGCCAGCCCGCCATGCTCCTGCACAAGCAAGGATCCCGCAGAGGGGAGGCAGTGGACACGTGTTCAGGCGGCATCTCAGCAGCTTCCAGGTCCCACGATGGGAATGCATGACACGTTTGCTCACGAATCTTGAAGGAGGCCAGGCTGTTGAATTTCTCTGAACCAAGTGGGAGATCGTCCCCAGGCAGGTCTGTGCCGAGGGAGTGAAGCAGAGAACGGAATGTTTGGGGGGTGAACCAGCCGGAAGGGAAATCTACAGGCCCCCTGATGCCCTGGCCCGGGGTCCTGGGGGCCCCCCACTGCGGTGGACATGAGCTGGGAGGTTGACATCAACCTTGGCAGTGGCGCTTGTGGGGTTCGGCGGCCCGGACTGCTCCCCACGTCGAGCTCCAGCAAGGTTCAGGGCTGGGTCTGTGTGGATCCCATTTGATTGGCAGACAAAGCCAGGACAGGCTGTTGATGAGGCTTCGGGGTGAGCAAAGGTGTGGCCCCCAGGAGCTCCAGGTCCCCTTCCCCCTTCTCGAAGCCTCTGCCCTCCCCACCCTGAGTGACTGGTCTCCCCCGGGACCGAGGAGAACTAAGCCAGCAGCTGTTGGTCGGCGACACCTGTCAGTCATCACATCCGAGCTCTCTCCACTTCACCTGATTCTAAACAGTGCCTCCTGAGACCAGGCTCCACATTACAGATCTGAGACTTCTCAGAGCTCAACCAGCCGTCAGTGTCACACAGCTGCCCCCCCACCCCCGGATGGTGGGCCCAAGCCCGGCCTTGCCAGCTGCTCTCCTGGACCCTCCAGGCCCTGGACCTGGCTGGTGGATCAGGGTTCTACCCCGAGAGATCACAGGAGAGGGCGCACAGCGACTGCCAGGTCAGACCCAGGAAGCCACATGCCTCCACTTTGAACGCGAGTTCTGTGTTGATGTTACTGGTAATTGTTCTCTTATTCCCAGCAAGGCTTCCCGTGCTGGGGTTTCATTATCACGGGGGGAATTAACTGGTCACAGCCCCGTGGGATTGATCCTTACCACTTGACTTTATGTTTCATGTTATTATCGCAGTGAGGGACTTGTTAAACCAAATGTTAGAGCCAGTCTGGAAATTGTAGTGAAATGAACCTGCTGTGTTTGGGGCTAGGTCTGGAGTGTGGTGGTTCCTGCTCTCTCTGTTTTTCTCTCTCACTTTTTTTTAAATAGGCTTTTTTTCTTAGACCAGTTTCCAGTTTATAGGAAGTTGAACAGTAAGCAGGGAGTTCCCATATACACTCTCCCCCTAACCCCCGGTTTCTCCTGTTAACGTTCTGCATGTTACATTTGCCGTGACCTTTGTATCTGCTACATTTGTTATGATGGATGAGCTAGTTCTGGTATGTCATTATGATATAAAGTCCACACCAGTGTGCATCAGCAATTGCTCTTGCTGTTGTGTGTTCTCTGTGTTTAGATGAACGTATAATAATATATGGGCTTCCCTGGTAGCTCACCTGGTAAAGAATCTGAACCCGGTTCCATCCCTGGGTTAGGAAGATCCCCTGGAGAAGAGATTGGCTACCCACTCCTGTGTTCTTAGGCTTCCCTCGTAGCTCAGACGGTAAAGAATCTGCCTGCAATGTGGGAGACCTGGGTTCGATCCCTGTATTGGGAAGATCCCCTGGAGAAGGGCATGGCTACCCACTCCAGTATTCTGGCCTGGAGAATACCCCTGGATGGAGGAGCCTGTTGGTCACAAAGAGTCAGACACGAGTGGGCGACTGAGCCCAGCACAGTGTACTGAGGTATGTTTACCATCATGCGATCACACAGAACTGTTTCACTTGAAATCCCCTGAGCCCACCTGTTCATCCTCCCTGCCCCCAGCCCCTGACACCCGTTGATCTTTTACTGTCTGCGTGATTTTCCTTTCTTGATAATGTCATAGCGTCAGAGTCGTGCAGTGTGCAGCCTTTTCAGACTGGCTTCCATCACTCAGTAACATGTACCTGAGGCCCCTCCAGGTCTTTTCATGGCTTCATAGCTCATCCCAAGGGTTCTTTATGTGGCGAGGTCTGGCCCGAACCACCCCATCCGGGTCTAAGCGCCCACTCCTGCCCTGTCCTGCCACGCAGGGGATCCTGATTCCCCCTTGTGTCCACGTACCCGCCGGGCCACCTCCCCCGGCCTCAGTCCACTCGCTGGGCGGCAGGATCACTGACCGTGGCCCTTGCTCCGCAGGCTTCTGTGAGCACTGGTCCCCTTTGCAAAGCACCCGACTGGTGCAGCTGCATGAGGTCCGAGGACTGAGTCCATCTTGAAGGGTAAGAAGGCCCAGACCTCAAATCCGCAGGACCCTCAGGCTGGGGCCCCAGGGACAAGCGGGCAGATGCAGGCTGGATGGGACACCTAAGTAGGTGGTGCCCACACCGACAGGCCCCCTCTGGACAGTGTCTAGTTACCACCACCAGGGGGCAGCACCCCGCTCTCACCCAGCCACCCAGAGCCGCGGCAGGATGCTGGTGCAGAGAAGGAGCCGCGGAAGGCAGCAGGGCTGGTGCTCCCACAAAACGACCCTCTTAAAGCAGCTTAGATCAAGTATATTTATGTTAACCAGGAAACTGGCCGTGCCAGGCTGTGAGTTCTTGCGAATGACAGCGGCTGTTGCGAAGGCGGGAGGAGAAGGGGACGACAGAGGGGGAGATGGTTGGATGGCATCACCAACTCGATGGATGTGAGTTTGAGCAAACTCCGGGAGTTGGTGATGGACAGGGAAGCCTGGCGTGCTGCAGTCCATGGGGTCGCAAAGAGTCAGACACGACTGAGCGGCTCAACTGAACTGAGCTGTTGTGTATTGATCTCTTATGGTTTGTGGGACTCTGGGCTGCTTGTTACGCAAGCCTTTCTGCCTGAGGTCCTAGCCACCCCTGGGGCAGGTGCTGTGAGCAGAGGGCGGACGGACAGACAGCTGGATGGCTGGGAGTTCCAGGTCACTGCCTGCTGGAGGTGAGGCTGGGTTGTACACAGGTCTGCCCGCCCCTCGCCTGGGGCTCTGACACTGCTCCATCCCACGCAGGTGCTGGTGTAAGACCTTGCCTGTCCACTCGTGGAGACACAAGCCATGCTGTCCTTTGTACACGTAGTGAGTGAGAAGTAACATGCGTTCCCCCCCAACCCTCCCCCAAATCTTGATTTAGCCTCAGATTGTGGACGGGGTGACTCAGGAGCCTCTCAGCCCCACGTGAGTCCCAGGCAGCCCCAGGGCGGTGTACAGCCGTGAGTCGGCTCTGCCTGAGGTTTCAGTCCTCAGGCCCCGTGGGGAATCTTTAATTCCAGCCCGGGACATCCTTGCTCTCTGCACGCCACCCCCATCATTTTTATTAAGTACTGGATGAGGGGGTTTCTGTGATGATTGCATAGGAGAAAAGAGCGAGGGGCAAGCCTGCCGCTGACACTCACAGCAGAGTGGAAGTGTCCCCACGGCGTCCAGGACGGCCGGCGGGGCTCCGCAGCCCTCACTAGGCTCTGCAGCGCCCAGTGAGCTGTTTGGTCCCAACCCGTCTGAGACCTCGAGGCTGTCCTTAACGCTGGGCCTGGGGTACTGGGGGTGATGCCAGGCTATTTTTTTGTGCCAGTTGTCTGCTTTCCTGCACCTGCTTCTCCAGACAGGGTTGCTTTTTAAAATATGAAAGTGAAAGTGAAGTCGCTCAGTCGTGTCCGACTCTTTGCGACCCCATGAACTGTAGCCTGCCAGGCTCCTCCGTCCATGGGTTTTTTTCAGGCAAGAGTACTGGAGTGGGGTGCCATTTCCTTCTCCAGATCTTCCCGACCCAGGGATTGAACCCAGGTCTCCCGCATTGTAGGCAGGTGCTTTACCATCTGAGCCACCAGGGAAGTCCTGGTATGCATATATATCTTTTAAAATGTATATGTCTGTAATTTCGCCTGTTGATTTACTTCTGGTGGTGCTGGGTCTTCCTTGCTGCATACGATTTCTTCTCTCTAGTTGTGGCGAGCAGGGACTCTTCTCCAGTTGCTGTGTGTGGGTCTCTCATTGTGCGGGCTTCTCTTGCCACAGAGCGTGGGCTCTAGGGTGCCCGGCTCAGCTGTTGCGTCTCCCGAGCCCTGGGGTGCCCGGCTCAGGTGTTGCATCTCCCGGGCTCTCGAGCACAGACTCTGTCGTGCTGACGCCCGGGCTTCGTCGCTCCGCGGCACGTGGGATCTTCCGGGGTCAGGGGTTGGACCTGTGTCCACTGCGTGGGCAGGTGGACCCTTTACCGCTGAGACCTCGGGGAAGCCCCAGGATGGCTTTTGGCCCCAGACGGCTGCTCCCCTGGGGGCCTTCAGAGCCTCCTCCTGGAAGGCCTGGTGCTCCTCCATGTGGAGCTGCCTGCAGTCAAACCCTCCCCGCGGGTGGGACCCAGAGGAGGGGGCCCTGTACTGCGGATCTGGGGACTGTGGGGAAAGGGGGTCTGGAGGCTTGGGGGGCAGGCTGGAGGCTGGATGGGGAAACGTCCTCTGTGTGACATCCGCCTCCTTCATCTTTACAAGAGTGAGCAAAACTTCTGTGCCTAGTACTCCATCGGTGATGGTGTTAAAGCAGTGTCTAAATGTGTATGCATGTATCTGTGTGTGTATATATGTACATTACATTTATATATTTGTGTGTGTATGTGTGTGTCTGTCCTTGCGTGTGTGAATATATACTTGTGTCTCTCTGTATGTGTGTCTGTGTGTGATTGTGTACATACGTGTCTGTCCATGTGTGTGAGGGTATATTTGTGTCTCTGTGTGTTTGTATGTGTGTCTGTGTGTGTATTTGTCTTATCTGTCCATATGTGTGTGAACATATGCTTGTGTGTTTGTCTGTGTGTGTATGTGTGTGTCTGTCTGTCCGTGAGTGTGTGTGTCTGTTTGTGTGTCTCTGTGTACATGTGTCTGTATGCCTACAGCTCCCTGGCTCCTGAGCTCCGGACCCCTGCTAAAACCTCAGAACTCATTCAGCCCAGAAAAGGGGGCCGAGAGCCCTGCTCCGGGGCAGCCCTGACCCGATGGGGGGGTCGGTGCCCCAGCCCCCTGCCCTCCTCCTGAGGGACGCCCTGGAGGGTCTCCCAGGGAGAGATCAGCTCGACAGCACACTTTCCTTCCTCCCCACTGCTTTCTGCCACCTGGGGTCCCCTGGGTACACCGCTAGGACCCCATCCTTGCCTCAGCCTCAGGTCAGGGGACCCCAGGCCAAGATGGAAGGCGGGACTGGAAGATGTGGGTCCTCGCTAGGCTGTGTGCTTGGAGCTGGCTGAGCAGGGGATCTGCTTCCATTCCTGCGCCTGGCAGAGACCCAGAGGCAGGCAGAGGAGCGGACGAGCTTCCCCGCGGAGGAAAGGGGACCAGCTCCTCTCAGGGAGTCACTTGAAGCTCAGGGGGGAGGCGGTGCTGCAGGCTGGTACAGAAGCCTGCTGGGCAGAGAGCACGGCCCACACTGCCCCCGCAACCCGGGTCCACCTCCCACCCAGGACCAGCCTGAGAAGGGCGAGCCTGCCCCTTGCCAGGCATGTGGGATCTGCCCCCCGCCCTTTCAGTAGCCTCCCAGGTCCCCCAGGCCCCCAGCCCTATCAGGCCTGAGAGGAGCTGGTCCCTGGCCCCTGGTCGTCCCCTGACCACCTGGCTGTGGCCACTGCTGGGCTGGAGCTCCCTGAGCACAGATGCTGCGTGGGCCCCAGTGACCTCAGGCTGGCCCCCATAGGTGCCTCTGGAGGGTGTGGGTGAGCGGCGGCCCTGCCCAGAACCCCTGGAGCCCCACAGGTGGGCCCTTCGGCCATCCACCCTGACCCGTCCCTCTGGGGGTCTCCGTGACCACCCTTGGTCATGGCTGGCTGTAACAGGGAACAGTGACAGTACTCAGGTCGCCAGCCCCAGGCCACAGCGTGGATTCGAAGCGAGCTCACAGGACGATGCGATGGTCCACAGGAGAGGACCTGGGTCCCCGTCTGCAGAAGGACTCTCAAGCTCAGAAGAGTGTGTGTGTTGGGGGATGCCTTGCTTCTGAGGCCCCGGAGGGCCAGGGGGCATCGGCTCCCCTTTGGGAGGTGGGGGACTGGACTGCTGTCAGGGTGTCCCATCGCCTAACCTCTGCTGGTCCCCCGATGCCCTCTGGGTCGTGCTGGGGGGTTATGTGGGGCCCCGAGCGCTTAAAGAGTTGCTGGGTTGCTCACCTGTGCCTGGCCCATCCCGCTTTTTAATGCTGCTCCTGTCCCCTGCAGTGTCAGAGCCGCAGGCTGCTCCCAGCGCCCCGGAGAAGCCGCCCGGCACGGCGATCCTGTGTAACACCTGTGGGAATGTGTGCAGGGGCGAGGTGCTGCGGGTGCAGAACAAGTACTTCCACATCCAGTGCTTCATCTGCAAAGGTGAGCATCCCGGCCCGTCTCCACCACGGGGCCCAGCACAGCCCTGCCGTGGGGCTGGGCCCGCCTCCCAACTGCCTTGCTGGGCCCCACAGTGTCCCCGGGAACTCCTTAGATCTGGGCTGTTGGAGAAATGCATCCCCAACCTTCATATAACGACATGGTCTTTTCAGCGTGGCCTGCCTGCCTCCCTGATGGGAGTTCCTGCCCAAGGGGGCAGCGGGTGAGAGGATGAGGTCTGGGTCCTAGGCAGCATCCTCGATGGCTGCAGCCGTGTCCGAGGATTCGGATCCACTGGCCAGAGCAAAGTGGCCACCTGGGTCCCAGAGCCACGTAGTAAATGGCCATTGCTGGTGGCTTCTTTGCTGGAGAAGGGATAGGCTGCCCACTCCAATATTCCTGGGCTTCCCTTGTGGCTCAGCTGGTAAAGAATCTGCCTGCCATGCGGGAGACCTGGGTTCCATCCCTGGGTTGGGAAGAGCCCCTGGAGAAGGGAAAGCCTACCCACTCCAGTATTCTGGCCTGGAGAATTCCATGGACTATATAGTCCATGGGGTCGCAAAGAGTTGGACACGACTAAGTCATTTTCACTTTCCTGAAAACACATGAAAAGTAGCATTTGGGGGAAGGGATGGACAAATCAAAGCAATCTGGCACAGTGTCCAGACTCAAAGAATTTACACGTGCGTGCTAAGTTGCTCGGTTGTGTCTGACTCTTTGCAACCCTATGGACAGTAGCCCACCAGGCTTCTCTGTCTGTGGGATTCTCCAGGCGAGAATGATGGACTGGGTTGCCATGACCTTCTCTAGGGGATCTGCCCAATCCAGGAATCGGACTTCCATCTTTCATGTCTTCTGAACTGGCGGGCATGTTCTTTATCACTAGTGCCCCCTGGGAAGCCCTGTAGTTTTAAAGAATTCTCTCAATGACCCTGCAACTCCCACCTTACCTCTGGGCAGCACACGGTGTCACAGCCTGCTGTCCGGTGGGTTTGAACGCCGTCCAGAGATGCAGGGACGTTCACAGATGGACCTCGGGGCCCCGGGCAGTGAGGGCCTGGGCTTCCTGGTCCAAGTAGGGAAGCAAATACGCCACATGTAAGATTGCGGAGCACCATGGCTTTTGTCAGCACCACGGGGCCCGTTAACTGCCTGAGTCCCTTCAGCCCACCATGGTCCCAGGAGGTCCTACTGTGCGCCAGGTCCGGCCTTTGAAAGTGCTGAGTAGGAAGGCATGAGACCTAGCTTGGAGGCTGCGGTCTGGTCAGAAGATAAATCTACCAGCTCAGTGGAGAAAGCTCGTGGTTAGTGGTCGAAGCCAAGAGCTGGGAAGGGGGCCCCTGGGGATGCAGCAGGGCCCCCAAGGAGCCCGCTGGTTCTGCGAGGTGCCGGAAGCTGGCTCCGTCTCCCCTGGCCCTCACCTCTGCTGAGCACTTCCTGTGAGCTCAGTTCTCTCATGTGTTTCCATCTAAAGCCCCCCAGTCTTGGGGGACGGGGTGGCTGTGGCATTATCTCCACTGAAAATGAGGATTCAAGGGTGGCTGTGACTCACAGCTGTCCCCTGGGGGAGCCACTGGCGTGAGTTGGGGTGGGGGTGCCCTTCCCATGAGTCTCAGCTCTGCCCCCACCCCAGCGCAGAGGGACGGGGTGCGGCCCGCAGCAGGGTTTGTGTCCCCGTGAAGAGGGGGCAGAAGGTGAGGGCCGGGGGTCAGGGAGGCCATGGTCATCGGTGAGCAAAGATGGACCCTGTGTTCAGAGCTGCCACCTCACCCGGCCGCCCCGGAGTTTCAGAATTATGGATCTCCTGGTCCACGCCTGTCCTTTCCCAGGAGGGGAAACTGAGGCAACAGGGGAACCCTTCTTGCCCAAGGGGGCAAATCCAGTCAACTGCTGGAGACCCCAGACCCGAAGATCTTCAAACGAGAGCAGGAGAGAGCAGGGGGAGAGAGGGAGGGGAGGATAAATGCAGATGAATGGGAGAAACAGAAAGAGCAGCCCTCTCGTGAGCCTTGGAAGGAGAGAAAACCCCAATGGCCAATTGCGTTCCACCCCCTCACCCCACCCAACCCCGGGTCAGTGCCAGGGTCGCCAGTGGGCCCCTGCCTCCGGCCCGTTCACCTGGTGGGGACCAGAGTGGGCTCTCCAGGCAGACGGGCCTCGGCCTCTCCCATCGCCTGGGATGAAGGTAGCGCCTTGAGCTTACCTGGCCCCAGGTAGCAGGTGCCTCTGAGCTCAGCCGGTGCACCCGGGAAGGGGCTGTGTGTGCAGGCGGGAGGTGGATGGGGTGGGGCGGGAAGGCGGGGCGGACAAGGGGCGGAGGGCGGGTGCAGTGTGAGGGTGAGTGGGGGGGGGCACGACTTGGGGGTGGATTGACGGGCCCACGGATAGTGGGCCTGGGACAGACAGGAGCCCGGCTGGCTGGCTGGAGCTGAGTGGACAGGGTGCCACCCTGTGCCCTGAGGCTGGCCAGGCCTTCTGGCTGGAGCGCGTGTTGGGCCTGGCCTTGCCCCCACCCCTCTGGGCCCAGGCTCCTGCCAGACCTTATGATGGCACATGGCTGAACGCCTGGATGGTGCCTCTCACGGCTGTGAACTGGGTGTCTCGGGAGCTCAGATCTCCCTGTTGGGGGTCCACATGGAGGGGACATGCCAGCCACTCAGTCTCCCCAGGGGCACGCGGGCACTGCCCTGGCCCTGGATCCTCCATCCTTGTCTCTTACTAAAACCCCTGAATGGAGGTCTTCCCTCTCGGGTTCCGTGGAGGGGCCTCCTAGACAGGGGGATGAAGGGGGTGGGGAAGGAGGGCAGCGGAGAGAGCCCCCACCCCCCAGGAGCCCCACCTGTAGGCGCATCAAGTCACAGACTCTGTGGGGGCTCTGGTGTTGAGTCCGGTCGTGTGAAAAGAAAACTTGGGGACCGCAGCCCTGCCCTCAGCCATGACCCTGTGCCCTTCACTCAACCCTAGGCCCACGGCGCTGCCCCGGTGCCCGGGGACCTTTCCCGGGGAGGCCGTGACCCGACACCCTGGCTGGGGCCCTGCCTGGCCCGTTTCTTCTGCTCTTCAGTGCTGCCCCGGCCACCACAGCATCTGCCTGGCTCAATCTCCTCTGCTCTCCTGCAGAAGCACGTGCTGTGTTCGTGAAAAGCCAAAGCCATTAGATTGCTCTTTTTTAAAAGCTGATTTTAAAAGACCCAGGGGAAGTGCTCGCTGTATTTAAAAGGATTGTCTGAGGGCACTGACCCTAGGAACTGGATAAAAGGCATTAGATGTCCAGCACCCAGCCCATCACCTGCTGTGGCCCAGGGGTTTGGTCGGTGGCGGGGGGTGGGGGGCGGGATGGCTGCCCCAGATGACCCACCCCCAGGGTCCTTCTCTGGGCTCCAGCCTCCCGAGGAGACCTGGGAATGGGTCTGACCTGGTCCTTAACACCCGGGGTGGGCAGCGCCGGGCCAGCATCTGGGCCTCACCCTTAAGCCCCAGCAGCTGCCTGGGGCGGGCTGCCATCAGTGGGGGCAGTGGCAGGAGTCTGTGGGCATGCAGGCCTGGTTCCAAGACCCCCAGGCATCCGCCCACCCACAGGCTCATTCTGTGCCAGGAGCCCTGTCAGCCTGCAGACACAGCAGGGCCCTTGCTGTGGCATGTCTGCTTAACCTGCTGAGAAATGACAGGAACAGCTAAGATTTCCTGCGAGTTTTAAAGAGGTTGTGTTTATTCAAGCACGAGGATTGCATAGCCTTCGATTGATCTTTTATTCACTGCTCATGAAAATTCAAAGTCTATGAGTCATTGAAGATGCTCTTGGATGAATAAAATAAAAGAACCAACTTACACTGTCTTAAATTACATGGGTATTTATCATCTTTACAGGAAGCCTGGAAGTAGCCTTCTACCCACCAGAGCTTGTTAATATGACAGCTCAACAAAGTCATCAAAGACTGGGTTCTTTTTTCACTTCTCCACCCCAACTGCCCCACCCCCAATCTTCTGCATTTCAACAATGCCTTTCCTCATGGTCTCAAGATGGCTGCTGTAACTCCAAACATCCTATCCTCACAGGTTGAGACTCAACCCTGGGGATGAGGTTGGGCAAGGATGTGCATAGGCAAAGGGGCCCTCCACTCCCCATGATTGCCCTGTTTGGTTAATCAGGGCAATCTCCCTTTGATGACAAACCTAGACAGTTTATTAAAAAGCAGAGAAGTCACTTTCCCAACAAAGGTCCATATAGTCAAAGCTATGGTTTTTCCAGTAGTCATGTATGGGTGTGAGAGTTGAACTATAAAGAAAGCTGAGCGCCAAAGCATTGATACTTTTGAACTGTGGTGTTGGAGAAGACTCTTGAGAGTCCCTGGGACTGCAAGGAGTTCCAAACAGTCCATCCTAAAGGAAATGAACCCTGAATATTCATTGGAAGGACTGATGCTGAAGCTGATGCTCCAGTACTTTGGCCACCTGATGTGAAGAGCTGACTCATTGAAAAAGACCCTGATGCTGGGAAAGATTGAGGGCAGGAGAACAGAGGATGAGATCATTGGATTGCATCACTGACTCAATGGACATGAGTTTGAGCGAGCTCCAGGAGATGGTGATGGACAGGGAGACCTGGCGTGCTGTGGTCCACAGTGTCGCAAAGACTCGGACCCGACTGGGTGACTGAACAGCAGCAACCCTCTGATCAGGGAGGAGAACTTTTCCCTGGAAGCCCTCACAGGCTTCCTGTGTGACTCACCGGCTAGAACTGGGTCACACTCGCTCCCACCAGTAAAGAGGAAAGGGAGGGCGGGGACTGGCCGACTCCAGCCATGTTCCTCCCTCGGTGGGTGTGTTGCCAGTCTAACTGCAGCAGGGTCTGTTAGCACAGAAGGCAGTTGTGTCTGATGCTGACCTGAGATCCCAGCATACTAGGGTCCTGCCACCCAGGTGCTTGCTTGACGTGACTTGGTTTACCCAAATATGAAAGCCCGTGAAAGGAAGTGCATTGTTCTCCAGACCCTCTCGACACT